GGCAATATTTGACTCAACAAAGAAAAATGATTACAATATTAATTTTTTAAAACAATATATTTGTCTTACTGGCACTGATAACTCACTACATTTACATCTAAAGGGAATAAAGCTATATATCTTCATATAATTTCATATAATCTGACAGCTGCTGAATCCTAAAGGAACTAACCCCTTTCTTCGAACAACTCATTTAACTCTCTGGAGTTTCTATTTGACATTGATTTGTTCTATGAGTATTGGCCTTTCTAACTTTCAATAACTGAAGTTCATATTGAACTTAAAGGCAGATGAGGCAAATAATAGGCCAGAAATACTCTTAGCATTAGACTGAGGTTACCACTAGTATTCTCTTCCCTTTTTCACCTTCATGGCACTCTGTGTGCAACCCCCAGCATCTGTAATTGCATGTTTTTATGACATATAAAAAATGCTTGAAGCATAGTTATCAATAAAAAAAAACCTTTTTCCTTTTAACAGGGTTCATACAGGAACATTCAAAACAAATTCAAGGATTTTCGATAACTTTTAAGGTTTTCATTCAAGTACTGTTCTCATTCAAGTACTTTTCAAAGACTACATTTACTGCAAATGAATTTGATATGTTCTGTCATTTATAGGTGTATATACCAAAGAAAAAAGGCAACTAATATTTCATTCAAACTTCATGTATTTTAACACATTTATGACGAAATATGAAAAGTAAAAAAATCAAGTAATGTCCAAAAAGGGTATTCTCTCCTTTAGCAAATTTCAGGTTCAGGTTAAAAATAACAAAATTTAAAATTTTGACAAATTGCTAAGTGATCAAATTCAAGTTATTTCCAAGGGAAAAATGATGTAATAAAGCATATTTTTGTTCTCTGAACTCTATCCCAATCAAATTTCCACTGTACAATGTCACCTAAAGTTTGCTGTATTCTTTTTCAGTGAAAGAGTATTAGGCTACAGGTTAATAAGATGACAGGTAGGAAACAGTCTAGAAAATTTGTTCAGAAAAATTGCTGTAATTAACTGTGTTTTCCACATTGTATCTCCTGCACAGTATCAATATGCAGTCACATTTGCAAAGGCTATGTGAATTATTTAATAAGAAAAAAAAAGATAATAGACAAGTTATTGAAATCCTGCTCTATCTTCCTGAATAATTTCCGTATTTGTTGCATTTTTATCTGTGCAGAGTTTCAATTAGGAAAACAACATAATTTCTTCCTGACATTTAAAGTGAACAGTAAGTAGTAGTTCTCATTACTTTTTGTACCCACCAGGGTTCCCTGACATCTAGGAAGACATTCTGAGCAATTTTCTCTGAAGGTATTTTTTCACATGGCAGCAAGTGACTGAAAGCACCATTGGAAGCCAATATACGTGCACCAAGTCAGAGAATTGTCAGACACAGGTGTTTTTCTTTCACAGAAATACTCTAAATTAACTGTCTTTAGGTTGGTCATGTCAATTTTTCTTCAAGGAATTCAAAGACTCTTTACAAATGTCATCGTTGGTGAGCCTCTTATTCTCAGGTAAACAGTCTTTTCATTCCAACTTGATCTTAGATATGAAGTCATATCTATTGTTTAAGGGTAGAGAATCTTAATGGATATATTTTAAATGACATCCTCAGTCCAGATGTTCACAAATATGTATAAAATACAAGGTCAAGGATACCCAATTTCTACCTACCTACCTACTAGTTCCTACCTTCCTACCATGTACCTCTACACCATCCTTATAAGGAAGGGTATAATATATACATGTTCAACACTTTTGCCAAAACTAATTATTCCTTGCATGCACTTTGCCTTCAGTTATTTAAGGGAGCATTCCCATAAACCCATCATACTAGCTGGATCCATCTAACTCTATGGGGATTCTCACAAAATTGCATTTAGTGTAAGCAGCTTAAATGTCTGCCATGCCTACTCAAGCTGCTAGGGGGTAATTAACGATAGTCAATTACCTCCTGATTACTCAAGGGGGCATACCAGACAATTAAGTTGATAATGAAATCACTCTAGCAAGAAGCCCCACAGAGTTAGATTGATCCAGGTAGTATAATGGGCTTATGGGAATGTAGTCAAAGATTCAAAATAAAGAAATGTGGCTGTCTCACTGAAACTGTTGTTTTTTGTATCAAATATTTTTTAAGTCCACACTTGGACCCTTGTTATGACATGCGTATCAAGGCTCAAAGGTCCATAATTGATTCAGGGTAGAGAACAGTCAGTTGCAAATAGATATATTTATGTGAAATTGATTTTCCATCATAAGGTTTGTGAATAACACAGAGGAAGCTTGTTTACGCCTAAAAAAGCAAATCCTAGAGAATTCACACTGTTATGCAGGCAAAAGAAAAGATCTCATCAGCCAACATGCCTGTCTCTCTTGGATTGTCCCTAGAAGTTTTAGCAACAATTTTCTAATTTGGGATTTGGGAAGGGATTAAAATTGGTCTCAGGTATATGTTATGCATTTGCAAAGCAAAGTGAATTTTTCTGTGGTTGTTAAGGGACATCTCAGATTTACAATTAGGCTTCATTCACATGGAAAGTCTATTTTCTAAATTCTATTTTCTATTTGCGGTATGTTTAGTGATCACGGTCTGTGCCCTGAATATCCCATGGCGTAATTACTGGAAGCGCGAGCCAGTTACTTATACAAAGCTGTAATTAACTCTCGGCTGTGCTCGGAGGAGATTCTGATACCTTTATGTATGCGCAGTAGGAATTTAGCAAGTTAATGGGGACCGCGATTGCTTTGAAAAATGTGTTTGTCGATTTTGTGCATATTTCGCGTCTGTATGTTTGAGCCGTCACACCTAAACCGATGAACTCCACAGCTTAGAGATACTACTGCGCATGCGTCAAGGTATCAGAATCTCCTCCGAGCACAGCCGAGAATTAATTACAGCTTTGTATAAGTAACTGGCTCGCGCTGCCAGTAATCACGCCGCGGGATATTCAGGGCACAGACCGTGATCACAAAACATACCGCAAATAGAAAATAGAATTTAGAAAATAGACTTTCCATGTGAATGAAGCTTTAGACTTTGTGTTCACAAGTGCCAATTCCCTGTAGGCCTAAAACCAATGAAAAAGCCTAATTCAATATTTTGCTAATATCACGAGGCTGAATTTCACCTTCAAGAAAATTTTGAGGTACAAGGTTTTACACAATCCTTTTACAATGAATTTTTGCTTAATATTTCCATCAAGTCACTCCGGTAATAAACTTTAAATCAACAGGTTACAATACCATATACTGTGCATGTCATTTTGACTTTCCCAAGGCTCTTGACTCAGTGTGGCAAGGTGGTTTATTTCACAAGTTTTATCATTACTGGGATACTCATGTTATTTCTACCAAATCATTAAATCTAAGTTGTTTGAACCAGAGACATTCTGACTAAAGATAAGCAATACACTGAAAGAAATTGATCGACATTTCCCATAATGTCACTGTATATCAAATATCTCTAGGATGGGAGCCAGCAAGGTTAGAAACAAGTGCCCCTTTCAATAACTTAAAGAGAGACAAAGATCCCTTTACAAGCATTAAAAAATACCACCAGAAAAAATATCTGCCTAATTTTCTGATGTGTATGTGATTAAAATGGGTTTAACATCCAACTAGTAAATACATAAAAGATCAAGATATCACAACTTCTTGAAGCTGGGAAGCATTCCCAATTTTCTTAGGGTCAGTGACCAAAAGAACTGCTCTTCCATTTTGGCAGCTAGCCAAATTGAAAGCAATATCACTTGATCTGAGTTACTTTGTTCATAGATGCTTTCAGAGAATTTGGTACGAAGGAGTGAGCATAGCGCAGCTCTGTAACATTTATATAATAAGCAAAAAGTAATACCTCATCATTCATATTTTTATGGTTTTAATCATATATCATAATTCAGTGTTGTATCAGGTCACAATTTAGTACTCTATTCATGAAATTGCATAAGGGTCTTAAAACTTTAGTCCCTTTTTCATTTAAAACAAATGTAATATAGTCATATTACAGCTTTTGAACTGTGCCAACTTACTATCATAAACCTGCTAGAGTATCACAAATTCACGATCCGAAAATGAAAAATTTACTGTAATATATATTGGCTTACACTTCCATAAATAGAAATGTCTAATTACTGTAAAATATCAATGCCTCTATTCTAGGTTAATTTCTTTCTCTTTTCATTCAAGTCAAGTTAAGCCTTTTTCTGCAATAGCAGCCACAATTTTTTTTTTCAGTGAAGGATAATTTCCCAATCAAATGCAATGCAAGATGACTTCTGGGGGTATCACACTATGCATTACCTGATGTGGTTTAAATTAAATTCTAAGCTTGGTTATTTCTCCAATGACAAATAGTCTCCTGCCGTGATTAGAATTAAATCTAATCAGCTGCTTCCTCTTCTCTTTACATAACAGTTCAAATTACAAACCATTCTTAATCATATGAGACATGTTTATTATCTCAGGATATTTTGCTCAAAGGTGATGACAATATAGTGCCAACATCAATCATGAAATCAATGTAGTAAGCATAGTGAAATCTTAATCTACTTCTCTCTATTTCTGATAAATTACATGGTTGCTTTTCTTATGGTTAAGGATAATTGAACTTGAAACGAGCTGTTTTCATGAAATACCTTCCAAACCACATTTTACATGTTGTGGCAATTAAGTGACATGAAATACTTTCAGCCATGTACCCCCCCCCCATGGCCCCTACAATAAAATGTTAGGTGACTGCTAACACAATCACTAGAAGCACAAATTTACTTCCAATACAGAAATTCCATTTCAATATAGAGCATTCCTGCTATGTAGGTTAACAGGATTTATTTAGAAAATGAAAACTATGTCAATTGTTTGTAGTATTTTGTACAGACAAGTTTTGCACAGAAGTTTAGTACAGGCTACATTTCAGAATTATGAGAATAATCAATTATTTGCTACAGTTACAGAACAAGAGACTAAGTGCAGACTGTTAACAGGGAACTTACCTTTTGCAGAAACAGTGAACTATATTCTTCAATCTGGAGCAGGCACCTGTTGTGCAAAGTGCCTTCCTTTCAATGCCAACTTGTGGATCTGACAGCTGTAACTGTAGGGAATATAAAGGAGAATGTTACAAAGACCTACACTTAATGCTGGTACATTAAACATTAAGTGGGCCGATAAAAAACTGTACAAGTAGCCTAACATCAATACAAGTGGCTTTCAAACCCTGCTGTCTGGCATTGCACTTATGTTCCTGTGAAGGTCTCCGGGGGGACAAGTGCTTTTAACACAGACATCCTTTTAAGTAACATTATGATACGTTTGGTTCAGTAATACAGAAATATTGCTGTTGTTTAAGTAACTTAACTGTTACTCTTCAACTGATTCATTTTTGACAAAAGTCCATTAACTGCAGTGAAACCCAAGTCAATGAAGTAAATTTGGTTACATTTTGCACTGCGTAAAAATTCTTTCTTAATTCAAATGAATAAAGTTCAAGGAAATGATATGACAAAAAGTCACATGCCACAAAGAGCTCCCCATGCTGTACAGGAAATTAAGGTAAAAATGTCCCTAAAAAGTTATTTTTTTTAATTGGAATTCCTCAATATAATTACTTGCAAATATCTTTGATATTCAGCTGGATTTTTGATGATGAAAAATATGGTTAAGTTTAAAAACAAAGATGTCAAAATTAAACAGGTTTCAATCATATTTCCAATACTTTTCCCCTTATGTCCAATATCTATCCTATTCCTGTATCTAAAACACCATTCTCAAACAAATCTCATGATATTTTAGTACTTTCTTTGGTAACACTGTCCATCATCATTAATTTAAAAGTATTCCTAGCTGACATGCATTTGGGATTCTGAGGCCTTTTTTATAACAAAAAAGCAAAGTTAAAATATTCAAACATTATGTGGTGCAAAAAAGTTATACCATGCATATCAATTTCAAAACTTATTTCGACACAGCATTTATATAGCTCCTTCAATTTATACCTTAAACTCATAGTGCTATAGACAAAATAATTAATATCCACATTACTGTGTATTATCCAAGAAAACATTATCCCAGGCTTATATTGATGGTACCCAAGAGAGAGAAAAAAGGGGAACCTCTTCATTTTCAAATAAAATTGACTGTCTACAGCATTATATATATATGGCAGGAAAAAATACAGTTAACAAAATTCTCTTATGAATATCACCCAAAAATACATTGTACAGTGTTCTTGAAAATTGCCAGTTATTTAAATGGGAAACTCAGAAATAGAGTATAATTAAGAGATCATATTACAATTAATTTTTCATCACGCATTTTCACTTTATGTAAAAAAATACATTTTTCTGAGCAGGGTAACCAGTTACAAACTTCTGAAAGATGTATCACATTTTGAGATATTATCAAATACATTTGACAAAGAAAATAAGATGTAAAACAATCAGAACTCTATGCACAGCCCAATTTAACATGCACTAGGTTTTATACCAATGCCAATATCATCTGGTACTTGTGCAATATCCCCACCCCACCTATAACATGTAATAAAAATCTTCTACTTTAAATGTTTTTTTTAAATTTAGTTGTGTATCAATGTCATTGTTATTCAAATAAATTAATTTTATAGTTATTTTAGTAATTCTTAACCTGAAATGACCTAGCTCACCTCTAATATTATTTGATTGGCTTTAAAGTTAAATTACTGGAAAAGCAATTAGATAATATTTTTATCTTACAGCTAAACAAATAAATTGCAAAGTACAAGGAGCAACTTAAGTGAACCATGGGAATGAAAATGAAAACGCAAAAATGAAAGTACCGTGTAACAATTAAGTAGGCGCATTTGATTAAGTTCGCAGTTATATATGTGACAAAACCTCATCGTGAATAGTTAAAAAATAACTTTATAATAAAATGTGAATTTTTAACAAATAAATATTACTTATAATAAAAACAAAAAAGAAGACGACAACCATATCATACATGTATGTTTACCCAAGGACTGTCATCAAACTTCCCGCTGTGCCTTTTGGATAGATCTCCATGTAAGCAACATGTTTTGGTTGCTTTCCCATCAGCGTTCAACAAGGGATTAGTTACTTTGCCAGAACTTGAAATTATGCAAACTCAAAATAAGAGTATCAATACTGACCTAAATGGAAGTCGTATAAGAAGGATTTGTAACTAACAATGCATTACTCACATCCAACCAAGTTTCCTGAACGATGACATGAAAACCTTACCACATATCCGGGCACTTCAAAATGGCAGCCTCCAGCGGCAGTGGTATTTCAGGTGGGACCCGCACTTATGGTGATAAACCAAACCCCATTCGCATCGAAGATGGAGGAGAGCTATACTACATTGGATCAGAGGTATGTCTGAATTAAAAGAACGTTAAATTTGGGTGTAGAACAAAAATGCCGCGAAGAACTGGAGACGGGTATCGTAGATCTCTTTGTTCGCCATATCTTAAATAACTTCAAGGTGCTATTATTGTCCGTCATTTTTCTGTATCGATCGTACAGACAAACATTTCCCGTTGGATTTATTTCTTTTCACAGGCGCACTTATCAGATTTACGTTCATCTAATAAATTTTAACATTTAGATTTAGAGCGACATTTACGTCATATTTCTTCATTTACAATGTAACTAACGACAGAATAATATCTAGCCTAGGTCAGTAGAATAAACGATCACTTTTTGATGTGACTTGATCAGACCGAAGCACTTAGAAAAATTATTGGTTCTCATGCAGTTTGCCCCCAGACTTATAAGCCCAAGTTTGGTTTTCTATTTTTTTTTTTAGTTCAGTTATGTCTCTGCTATTCAAAATGAGATTGTGATTTACTTAATTTTTTGTTTTTTTGCTGTCCATCAATGAAATGATCTGAGCTCTCATTGTATTGGAATGAGCCTTCTTGTTAAACATGAAAATAAGAAAATGGTTAAACTAATTTATTTGATCATTATGACCATTGAGTAAAGTCACCAGGTATGTGAATGAAAAAAAAAAAAGGAAAATCAGACTTGTTAGTTTTGGGGAGCTTACTGTATAAGGCTGCGTTCACATGAAAAATCTGTTTTCTAAAAATCTAAAAATCTATTTGCGGTAGCTTGTGATCATGGTCTGTGCCCTGAATACCCCGCGGCGTAATTACTGGCAGCGCCGAGAATTAATTACAGCTTTGGAAGTAACTGGCTCTCCGCTGCCCGTAATTATGCCTTGGGGTATTCAGGGCACAGACCGTGATCACAAGATACCGCAAATAGATTTTTAGATTTTTAGAAAATAGATTTTTCATGTGAACGCAGCCTAAGTACCATATTTTCTTAGTATTTTAAGATAAATTTTTTTTCTTAAGAGAAAAAGGCTGTTTTAAATATCAGAAATATTGCTCCCATTCAGCATGGATGACCCGATTACTTAAGCCTTTCTGCGTATGTCCAAACCAGATCATAATATCAGTGTGAGATCCGATATGCACCGTCAGCAGAGACTGGGCATGTAGATCAGACCTGGTAAATTGATTATGAAACACATGTATCTATTTGAATAGCCGTTTATATTAACATTACTCATTTATTTATTTATTTATTTATTCATTTAATTGTTAGTGCTTTGTTATAGTTAGTTGTGCTGTCATTGATTGTACCTTGTATGTAAAGATGTTTATCAATAAAGAATCTGGTAATTGTGGTGCCAGAGAGAAACAGGTAAAACTTGCTGATCCGCCAACTTAATATGGCCGACCACAGTTCAAAGTGATGCCGCTGATTCCTGATGGTCTCCCAACTCCACACGCGCCATTAAATGGATTAAATCTCGGCTCCGAGGTTCAATTGCTAGGCCCCTGCAGCGACGGCACGTGTGAAGGCGGGGAAGCCATCATGGAATTAGCGGCATGGCTTTGAACTGTGGTCGTCCACATTTAGTCGGCAGTTCAGTAAGTACTCAGATCATCCATTCTAAATGGGGCCATTGACAAACAAGTTACAAGAAGTATAATTCCATTCATGCTCGCCTGTTCAATCATTTGATGAATCTAAATACAACCTTATTAATGGCACACTAGTCTACTGTTCAGAAATGACTGTGGCCTAATAGTAATCAAAATTATTCAACATTCAACTTTGTATTTAAAATCCACTATGCATTAATTATATTAATTGTCATCAGAACTTGTGATTAGGATGGAAAAAATCTGGACATCAGTTGTCTGGTCATACCTTCAACTGCAATTGTGTTCATCCAGTCTGAACATGATGTTCACATACATAATGTAGGCTAAGGCACATTTGTTATGGTAGCTTTCCACCCATTTTTAAGAACTCAAGCAATTTATTCGAAATAATGCTTATCTTCCATAAAAATTATCACCAAGGTCAGTCTGACTCTGAATTATTGATGTTTATGTGAAATATATGAAGAGTCACAGTGAAGCATTCTCTTCATGATGGAGTGTTATTTCATTAAAGGTAAAGAGGATGAATAACTACCTTCTAAATAAATGCTCTTACGGAAATGGATTTTGATAACATTTTAGCACTTTTCCTCTAATTATTACCCTACTCAATTTTCTCGGTGTCAGCTCTACCTTATTCATCTTTTGGAAGTTTTGTAACCAGATGCCCTTACAGATGTTTTTCATTGCCCAGGCTTAAAAGTTCAATAGCCATTATAAACCTTGTTTGAGTTCAAATTATTTTTACAGGATGAAATGAACTAATAGTGTTTTGGAGCGCATTCAGAGCAGCGGACTAAGAGATCTGCCGATCACATATGGCCTACCCTCTTGAATGCTTGTTGCATAATCCCAACAGGTAATCTGTTCAGTGTCTAATTGGGAATTAAGCAGCAAGCTTTTCATTGGAGGAAATCATAATATAACCACACAGCTAATTTATGTTTTTCATATTCAGGTTGGTAATTACCTGCGGATGTTCAGAGGTTCTCTTTACAAGAAATACCCATCATTATGGAGGAGGTTATTGTCACCAGAGGAGAGGAAAAACATAGCACAAATTGGTAGGTTGCAATGCTTTTTCCTCTCATCACACTCTATCTGCTCTTTCATGACACAGAATCTAGATTTGTTAGGTATTCTACTCTTCTATTTCATAAGATTTAGATACAATAGAGTGGCAGTAGAGAAGTTTCAGTTTCAATAAAGAGTAGGTCTTTACAAATTGCAGTATTTAAGGTAAACAAAAGCTAAATGTTACTCTGTTGATATCTCTTTTGTTATGATTCAATGAGTCATGAACAGTAACAATCAAGTTACAGGCCAACTGAACAGAATTCTCTTATCTATAGAGTTAAGTATAGTACCAAACCTGTCTATGCACTTCTCAATGTGTTGTCTTCAATAGAATTATTTCACATCAGTCACGCATATTTTCAGCTTTAAAGTATTATTTATATGAGTATAGCAGCATAATAATGCAAAAATGAGTCAAAGCAAAGTATACAGTGCATTAAATGAAACAAATATTGATTGGTTTTGCACTCCAAAAAAGACTTATAAATTTATTAAATGTTATCATGTCATTTTCATTATATATATTCTTCTGTTCCCTCTAACTATACTGCTATTTAATCTAGATGTTAAAACCATGCAAATAGAGGTATAAAAAGATAAGCTTACTAAATTATGTACTGTACTTACCCTAGTGCTTGAATTACAAATTAGTCTCCTGCAACAAAAAAAAAAAAAAAAAAAAGGGGGGGGGGAAGAGCAGTGAGGCTTCATGTGAATCAACTAATTGCAAGTCTCAAATACTCTATGATTGTCCTCCTATTTACTTGTAGCATATTTATCAAAAATTGGTTCCTGTTAAATAAACACCAATAGACAGCAGGCAGTGCATACTGTATCTTTGTCAGACACTTAATTTTTCATAAATAGACCTAAAGTTTTGTCAACAGGATTAAACAAGTATTTTGAATTTTTACCATTTTCATTGTATTTTAACTATTTAAAGCAACCCATCTTGCACTCAAAATTAATTCCAACTGTTCACATTAAATTCAAGCTTGAATACCAGTATTGCTTAAAACATTTCATTATGTAAACTAGGTGGAAATCTTCTCGGGTTTGGCCAGCATACCTTGGCTACCAACATAACATTACTGAGAGCAGCAGAGGTGGATGAGATCCTGATGGGGAATGATGATAAATATAAAGCAGTCTCTGTCAGCAGTGAGCCAGTGGTCTCCAGGTAGGCCTGTCCCAAGAGCAGTTTCCAGTGACCCCTGTTTCTGTTTAATTTGAAGAAGTGGGGCTGGTATACTAATTGAATTTTAAAACAGTTTTTTTACTGTGCATCAGTGTTGCCTTGATGCAGTGATACAAGAACTACCATTAGTGCTCATACTGCATGTGAAGAGCTCTTTACTGGTGCTAATGCAGACCTTATTTATAAAGGGATTAGGTGTTTTCTAACTTGAGCCTCAGATTTTTCAACACAAATGCCCAAATTAACGACTCCAGCCACAAATTAACGACTCCAACTGGCAACATAAAATTACTTGCCACTTACAAGCACAGCATTTCATGACACAAACTGTTTATGTACCTGTTCGTTATATTCTGTATGAGCCGGAGATTGTTGACAATGCATCGATGCAAGGGGGCCTATGTATACAGCCACAGACCCTGATGGAAGCTGGTAAAAATGTTTGTGTAATAAAACCCTAAGTTTGTGACAAGTAATTCTATGTTAAGGCAGTTATTTTGTGGCTAGAGTTGTTAATTTGAGGATTTGTTCTCACAAAAGGGCAATTATTATTTATGAGGCCTGCAATGTAATATATAATCAAAAAAAAAAAAAATTATTTGTTGAGATATGATATTATGTGGATTTTTTATGAATTCAAAACTTGCACTTGAGAAATCATGTCACTGTGTTATTCAAAGGTTAATGTAAAGATGCTTCCGTTGTGGCTCAATTAATACTCTCAGTCATCAACTATCTCATTATAGCATCACCTTAGCAGGGTAACCTTCACTGAGACCTGTGCTTTATTGACTCCTATGAGTCACAATAGCTTCATATAGAAACTGTTTGGCCTCAAACATTTTCTTTATCCCTTTTTTTGTGGACCTTTGTTACAGTTATATTAATGCCACGGGTGGTAAAATGAAGCACAACCAGACCAAGATTTTTTTATTTCAAAGTGATATAAGATGTTGTTATTTCCAGGGACAACAAGTCCAAGCGTGGCAGTAACTGGGTTCCAGCTTTACCCAGTACATCTCACCATCTGGATGCTGTGCCATCTTCCACTCCTATCAACAGAAATAGACTGGGGCGATTAAAAGTCAGAACATTCCCAATGTGGTAAGTTGCATGCAGGCACAATGTTTAGAGCTATAAGAAAAAAATCCAGGTGCAGTAGCTGCAGATAGTGTGCTGAATATTTAATAGGATGGTGGTATAAAGCTACTTTTAAAATTTTTAACGGCATGGTGGGCTGTCATATTGGACTGTTAAACCCTCAGTACTTTTATGAGAAATACAGCACAATGAACTAAAGCAGTTAAAATTATTTCTTCCCTTTTTTCATGTCTATATCAGTATGCCCATGTTTATTAATGTAAACCCTGTCACAGTGAAAATAACCTAATATATCAGTCCACAGAGAGACACAAATGGAAGTTAAATAACTTCATTTAGTCTGCCTTGGGATGGAATATCATATTTTTATTTTATTGCTTTCAGCTTGGATGAGACAGACCCTGGTCTGGTCCATGAGAATGCCAACCAACCAGAGGTGCTAGTTCCTATTAGGTTAGACATGGAGTTTGATGGGCAGAAACTGAGAGATTGCTTCACATGGAACAAAAACGGTAAAATTAATTTCTTTAAAATCAAATTTGGATTTTATGTATCAAAAGTGGACGGAGTGCATTGTATCATGTGTTCCCCCCTCCCCTTTTTTTTTAAAGTCTGAGGTATTATTTTTTAAAATGTAAATTGTTCTTAAATATTATGAAAAAAAACTATCCCAGCTAACCTAACACTGGTCCTTGCCAAATGTCAGTACAAGTGGAGCTGGACTTGTTAAATTTTGTAAATAAATTTTCTGTTACTGACCAATTTCCCTGATCCTGGTCAGTACATTCTTAGACCTTTGCTGAAAGAGCCAATAGGCTAAAATGTTTAACGGCACACACCTATCCATGCTAAATAATGTAATTTTTTATTATTACTGAACAAAAGAGCAGATGTCATCTTTAAACAGAATTTCTTATAAAGTTAACCAAACACAATTGTGAAATTGTATTCATTGGGAAGATTTCATTTTAGTTAAATTTAGTGACTATTAACATACTAATGATGCTATTTACATGTTTTAGAGACTCTCATAACACCAGAGCAGTTTGCAGAGATCTTATGTGATGACCTAGATCTGAATCCAGTCTCCTTCGTTCCTGCAATAGCCCAGTCAATACGACAACAGATGGAAGCTTTTCCTACTGACAATCTTTTAGAGGAACAGAAAGACCAAAGAGTTATTCTCAAGGTATGCACAGTTTTTATGACTTTCCTATTAATTGGATATTTTCACTAAGTAACTGCTCTGGTTAGGTGCTGGCAGTACACATGGTTTTAGTCCTGACCTGTCTCATTTTTTTATGTGTGTTTATTTACATTCATATTATATCACCATGGCAAATTTTAGCCCTGATGTGCTTTATAAATTATAGCATTCTCTCTGAAAAAGTGGCTATTCAGGCCTGCAAAAGAGTTTTAATTTTTTTTGTTTGTTTTTGAAGCTTTGTTATATAACATGTGGTTTAAATCTTTCAGCTCAACATCCATGTGGGTAATATTTCTTTGGTAGACCAGTTTGAATGGGACATGTCTGAAAAAGATAACAGCCCAGAGGAATTTGCCACAAAATTATGTGCCGAACTTGGTGAGTGACCTGTGTCAAATCATTTGATGTTTTTGAAAAAATGTTTCAAAAATGAATCAAATATATTATACCTGCTTTCATATTGTTAGATAACTACTACACAGAATGATTTGGTTATCATATTCCGCACAAAATGAGAAAAAAAATTATGAAAACGACAAGCCTATCAGTGGTGAAATGACCCAGGCATAGTAATCATTAGTTATGTTGTCCTTCCTAACTATCACTTCATTGAGATCTAAACTCAAAATTTACTTGTATGTGATGTTATTAGGCCAATTTATTCACTTAACTTAATTGTTGGAGCAGGGAAACCAGTGAATTTAGTTTAACAGGTCAGACCATTAGACAAATTTTAATGAAAATTTCCATTACTGTTTCAGGTCTGGGAGGAGAGTTTGTGACGGGTATATCATACAGCATCAGAGGACAGCTCAGTTGGCATCAAAGAACATATGCATTTAGGTAGGATGTTGGCAGTTGTTTTCTACACAGATACTGCATGATTTTAAGGGGCTTGGTTGACCTAACTCATTCTGAATGTCTCCACAGTGTATTATTTCAAAGCAATTTTGTGTAAGTAGATCTTAGACTAACAAAAAAGACTGCAGGTGGTCCATGATAGTGATTATCATAACTTGTCTTAACCATATTTTTGTTTTACTTTACTGAGAGATGTGAATTGATATCGATGCAGGTCAAATTGAAAATTTAACGTAATCCCATTATCATGTTTATAGACTGAGGTTATTACTTCTTTACATTTGGTCCTGTTCTACCTATAACTGTCTAATTTCAGTTTTGCTTTACTTGAAATGTCAATTTTGCTACAAGAGATAAAACAGTGAACTTCTTCAAACTGTTGACCTGTGTAGTATAAGGAAAGCATCAAATTGACTTTATGGTCATTTTTTACTTCACACTTAGATTCAGAATGTCATGTTTGGCAGTTGAACCTATATGTACCTTCCTTATAAAGCTGTGTCACGTATACCAACCTTGCACCTTTATCTTCAGTGAATCTCCTCTACCACTAGTAGAAGTGGCCATTCGCAATCAGAACGAGGCTGACACCTGGTGTCCCTTCCTGGAGACACTGACAGACGCAGAGATGGAGAAAAAGATAAGGGATCAAGACAGAAACACAAGGTAATATTTTAATCTTAGAAGTAATTTTTTTCTTGTTAATGTTATCTGTATAGAAAACCATTTGACCCTTATTTTATAAAGTTTGTAACCCTGAATCTTGACATGCACAACTCCATACTCTTACTCTCAAGTCAATGAAAATAGTATCTCTTTAACCTTTTACAAAGGGAAGATATTTTTTCATTAAGTTCAATTTAATGATTTTTATGTAGTGGCATTACAAATGTTCTTTTTAGAAAATTGACAATTAGCAAGTGAAAATGTTCAGGTGGATCAAGCTGAAGTGGCTCTTGTCTAACCCCACTTTAAAGCCTTTTTTTCTTGATTAAAATCAAACCTATATATTAATTTAAAATAATCTTTTCTCTTTCAGGCGTATGCGGCGTTTGGCCAATACAGCACCATCATGGTAAAACTAAAGGTGTATGAGGACTGTTTAATCACATAACGTTGTGATTTTGTAAATATGTATAGAGACTAAAATCCAAAATGTATACCAAATAAAAATGGAAACTTCTGCATTTTGGTAATATTTTCATATAAGACAGGAAGAGTACAAAATAAATTGATAAAAAGGCAAGTGTTTTTATGATATATTTCTTATGTTAAATAAACAATCTTCGCTAAATTTTGAACCAAAATAATATCATGAAACTGTACAAACAGTTACCCATTCTTTGCAGACAAACTTGCTAGTCTTCAGCATGTTTACTAAATGTTGTAAAATTTGTCGTAATTTACAGTCAGAGATGAAATTTTAGTATGATAGCTGTTTAGCATGGTTGTACCTATTATATGTACATGCTCTAAAAGATAATTTGAAAATAAAAATATACAATCCATTCTTTGCTGTTATCACCATGACCATCAGCTTCAGTGTACCCCGTGCTCAGTACTCTCTAAAAGGGCCACGGATTATGTGCACTTTTGTCCAATGCCTGGAGAAATTGTCATGAATTAATCAGAGACATATCTGCCAATATCTGGTAAAAAATAAATCTGTGGCACTGGTAGAGGGTATGTGCTCCTAGCATAGGAGCAGCTGGCCAGTGTAGAAAACTGTAACTGCAAAAAGTAAAATGTATGGTTCTTAAAAGCAAGAGAGCCATCTGAGGTAAACTTCCTTAGTGAGATACGTTATATACCAGATCATGAGATAAGTTAAATGCATTTTAGGAGACAAAAATGCTTTTTATTTTTCATGATGGTTGAAATACAAATTTCTGATATTAAAAATGGATGATGAAATAAATTATTTAAATTTGACAGCAATGACTTTCATAACTGATAAAAACTGTACAATTGTATACTTTCAAAATTATAAATATTTTACGAAAACAGTTATTCAATCGACATGCTTTTATATATATAGCAATGCATATTGCCATGGTATATGAATCTTTGACTTAAAATCTGTTCAAAATTTCCATAGTTTTTCAACTATTCAATTTTTGTTATGATGTCGATCATTGTAATTATTGAAATGTATTCGACATTGTGGTAGAGGTAAAAGCATATAACAATTTGTTGGGATGTTGAGATAAGCCATGTAACTGAAAGACTAATGACAAAAAAATCACTAACTGCCCCTTCAGCTTTGAACACAGAATAAAAACAAATTATTACAAATTACAATCAAACTGATGCAGTCTGTGTAGCTGAAATTGATATTAATATTGCTGTTTAAGTAATAAATGTCTTTAAAATTTTAATAATTGCATATCTTGCATATCAACTAGTTTTAAAGACTTCATGCTTAAAATCAAAATTGCCATCATTTTAATAATTGGTCTTGATCACAGACACTACAGCCACCAGGTGGCAGCATGGTACACCAGGGTCCTTTCAGACTTTTCTCTGAACGAGTAACATTGAAAGTAACAATCTATTTTTATGCTAGAAATTAAAACTGACTATGAACTGACTTTTCTATGAATGAGTAACACTGAAAGTAACAATCTATTTTTATGCCACAAATTATAACTGTCTATGAACTGACTTTTCTATGAATGAGTAACATTGAAAGTAACAATCTATTTCTATGCTAGAAATTAAAATTGTCTATGAACTGACTTTTCTATGAATGAGTAACATTGAAAGTAGCAATCTATCTTTATGCTAGAGATTAAAACTGTCTATGAATTAACTATCTGACATTAGGTTTTGTCAGACTACAACCCTGTAACATTAGCAACTGGTCTCATGCAACATTTGGTAACCCCTTTATCAAAAGACTTAGAAGTTAGTTGTCAAATAAGACCAGCATAAATTTTAGAAATTGTTGTAGTATTTTTTTAACTTCTGTAGATTTTATTTTCTTACTAGTTACTAAGTGACAACTGACATATTTTGTAATAAAAATAAAATATCACATTTAAGCAAAAGTGTAATATCAAAATAATCTCAACAGTGAAATAAAATTTTTAAAGTGAGTATGGTCTTGTTAAATGCAATATGCCCTTCTTTATTTCATGAACACTCAAAATTTGTGACTATTAATAAAAAGCGCTATCATAATTTCACTTAGCCTGCTGCACCTTCTTGTCAGAGCAACACCTAGCCACTGGACTATTGTGAGGCTAATATCAGTCCACTTCAGAGCACTTAATCCTTTGAATGCTTGTTACTGGCACTTCCCTTATCTTGCTGCAGGAGGAAGTCTATGTGGGCCATCACATACCACAGCTGAAAGGTGAAAATATAAAATGAGGTACTGGCTGTTCCACAGAGCGTCTACCATAACACTATACTTAGTACTTTGTGTTACAAATAAATTACAAATGACTTATTTACAATGATGTTTGTATCTATAGATGCCTAAGTTATAATACAAATACTTCTAATTCACCTATCCCAAAATGTAAGGTATTAAAAAATACACCTTTCTTTCAACAAAATCCAACAAAAAAATAGATATGCTGTTTACAGAAATACCAGGAGAAGTGATATTCTACCTCACAGTACAGTGCCAGAAACCTCCCCAGCATCAGAGAGATCACAGTTATTTGTTGTACCACAGTAGGCAGGAGAGGTACTAAAGCTTGGTGCTGGATCCCATATAACCACACAGGTAAGATATGGACGCCAAGGATTACCACAGTACCCAGGAATGTCTTGAAATCTGAAATGAAAGACAATGGATGGTACATTCAGCCAACTTCTTTGGCTGACATCTATTTCCTGACTCAAAACAAGTAAAAGGTGATGTAGATGACTCTTAATAACATCTAGTATAATACTTACTTTTCTCCATAACTTTCTGCACAAGCCAAGGTGCTGTAATAGGGGTAACCTTCCAAGTTGCTCCAGCTTGTGCATGACTCCCTACAAATACTAGCCATTCCAAGGCTATTACGAAATAACCCCACTAAAGAAAAATCAAAATTGCATGTAGTTAATATACTATATCAATATACAATACACAATAGCAAATAGTGTTTTGAAATCACAAATAAGATGTCTTTAAGAAATGTCAATTTTCTATGTTCATTTATTTTCACTCATCAATTATATTTTTCAAATATTTAACCTAATATATTAATAAAATGCACTTCATTCATATTAAATAAATTTTATTCATATCAAAAAATTTATTTTAAAAAGTTTATGTGTGTGAACCATCAACAATGCATATACATTAAAAAAGGACAATGACACAGTTAGTTTTTTTTTTTTAACAAAATAACAAAGACACAAAGCACTTATAAAGAAAACTGGTTAACTGTGTAAACGTAACTCGTGAAGAGAATCCAAGATACTTCAGGTTGTTTTCTCATTGCTGATGGTACAATAACCTTTAAATTAACTCTCCTGTCCCCAGTAGTACTTACATTAAATAAAGTACACCATAGCATCCCCCTGCCAATCAAGTCAATGGCCACGTCTAACTGAATTTGAAAAAAAAAAAGCATTAGCTGACATGGAAATCCAAAGTATATATTCATAAAAATGCAATTTATATTGTTCCTGTGACTCAATACCCCTAATGAAAAAGTACTTCAAGTCAAGGGAAAATTTAATCAAATGAAAGAACCGTATCCCTTTTATGTATTTTCCCTTTGAATGTCATATTTCAAAAGAACAGCTCATGGGCTTTTTGTTATCTTTAATGATCCCCTTTTCCTTAGAAACAACCTGCGTTAAGGCCTCGAAGGCAGGCTACATCCTTTTTCAGTAATGAAATTACTACTCCTGCCAACTTATTGCACTTGGACAAGGAATGAAAATGCATGGGAGACATGGAGCTGTTAAGAATGCTAAAACCCAATTATTAAGAAAAATATCTGTAAGATCACATTCACAACGAGTTGTGCCAGGCTTTACAAATCCTGGGGACTAAATATGGCGGACGTACATGANAAACCCGGGGAACTAAATGGGGCGGCCGTCCAGGAGAAAAAACCCGCCTAATCTTTTAATAGTCTCTCCGCCTCTCACACGCCTCCCCATGTGTTGTCCCAATGGAGCCGAGATTTAATGACTGTCCCCCCCCCCGCAGGGACGATGTGTGGGGAGGCGTGTGAGAGGCAGAGAGACTATTAAAAGATTAGGCGTTTTTTCTTTCATGTACGTCCGCCATATTTAGTCCCCAGGATTTGTAAAGCCTGGCTCAACTCGTTGTGAATGCAATCTTAGAGGTACTCCACACAGCATTTTAGGGTTGTTGGTTCAATAGTGTGGTGGTTTGTATATGAAAAAAAAAACAGCTGCTGACCTCATTATGATTTCATGTAGCGGTCTTTTTGGTCATTAATCTCATGAACTGACCCCTTAACAGAACAGATCTGAGATAAAGCAATTTTTAAATGTTTATATAACCTAATGACTATCTATTGCTCAGACACCTTTCCTTTCTGATTTCTACAATAAAGCTTGGTGCTGGACCAATACTTACAGTGAGTATTATTGTATAACTTAGAGACACATTTACAGTCAAGTTACAAAAGCATAACTTAGGCCACATTCCCATAGACACCATTAGTCTATGTAGCTAGATCCATCTCGCTCTTGCTGAGTGCAATCAGTTTAACTGAAGGACACTCCTTCTTCTGGCATTGAGTAGAATACAGAAAAGCTGCTGATTATATGAGTACGTTGAAAACAACAGGAGGCAATTAAATCATTCAGTTTAGCTGCTTGCACTCAGCTAGAGTCCCCGCAGATTTGGTTCGATTTTCATAGACCAATGGTGTCTATAGGAATGGGCCCTTTTCACATTGTGAAGCATACTGTACTTACCTGTGCATTACAGCAACACTTTAACTGGTGCTATATGTGACTATGTGCACTAGTGAAATCAGGATTTTGCCAGAGAGGAGGGTTGTGGCGCAAGCTTTAAATTTTTTGTATGTCAAATGATCGAATCAAACATGATATAATAGGCAGCCCCCCTCCCCTAGATCTGCCACTGCTTATAATCAGTACATGTAACTACTACTAGTACCTCAGCAAACTGTGTGATCATGATACCCTTCCTTCCATAGGAAACTGAGGTAATGGGTCCTGACTTATAATAATAACAATGGTGGTGCCAACAGAACAATATAAGGTACCAGTGGCTCCCTTCAGTTTGTATAATGGTTAGATATTGTATGTTACCATGCAGGCTGCCTAATGAGTAAAGATACTAATAAGTCAAACCCAATAAAATTTACCATAAAAATTGGCATAAAATGCCTGCATTTCTGAAACTCACCCATGCTCCAAAAACAGAACTCTGATCAAGTTGCCTTGCAAGTATTCCATCAATTCCTGTTAAGAGATACCAGAATCAAAATTAAATAATGTTAGTATATAGTTTATATACATACTGATATAAGCGACATCTTAAAATTTGGCAAGGTAACAATTTTGTGTGAGTGCATGCACATTAATTGTGATGTTTATCTAGTACAATAGACACCATGTGGAAAAATATATATATAGATATAGATAGACTTACCATCTAAAATAACAGAGCTTACATAAACAGGTAAGAAGACTTCAGGTCTGTTAAAATATGTCCATGATATTGCCAACAACACTAGTCTCACATAGCCTGGAATGATATAAATGCACTGAAGTATACTGTAAAAATAAAATCAATATTTCTGTTTAAGTGACAGTCTTCTTCTTATTAATAAACAAAACTGGATTACATTACTATCTGCATGGCAAACCAACCAATTTGCTCTTAGATATAACAAAGATAACTCAGGGCAGTAGAATTGGCTGATACATCCAAGAAATGAAGAGGGGAAAACATCTTGCAAGTGGTCCTTATAACCAAAGTGCTTGCATGGCCATAGCAAAATTGCTTTAAAGACAAATGGGGTTTTCTTTTCCTTTTTGCATCAAAAGTAATTAATTTTTGCAATTCATATCATTATGATCACAAAAAAAATATACAAGTCAACTATAAACTGCATCAGCTAGATGACACCCACAGAAATTGAAGATAATTAAAAATTCAGGACCAAGACCATCTTCAGGAGGTGTCAATTAATGCATTTCTTGTGAGAATCAATCACCTATAATTTGAATAAATGAACTTATATATATATATTTTTTAACTAAATTGGCAATAGGAAGGAGATCAGTGTCTCATGATCAGTTGAATCTGTTCAAACCAAAACTAGATGTCTTAAAAAATTACAGTTTTAATGTTTTTATAGAAACAACAAAATTATTCAAGTAAACTACAGTATAAATGACTTTGCAGCCCTTAAGTTTGTTCAACATTACATTATTGTGGCTTCAAGAGTTTGTATTAATCCGTGCAAGGATATGAATTAACCCACGTGTTACTGCATTTGTGTACTTGTAAAATGCCTTGTATTTTAGGAAGCCTGCTTTCAAAAATCACTGTTAAATCATCTTATTCTCTGTTAAGAGCATGCCTCTAGCTCTACTTGTTGGACTTGTTTCCACTTTTTTAAAAATTCTATCTTTAATCATCTATCATTCCAATGTTGCCCAAATGAAAAAAGCACCCATACGTACCGACAATGTTTGGTATATATAAAATAATTTCATAACCCATAGTAGTTTAATAAGCAGGACAAAACATAATCACAACACAACATGGGTCTTGTTTACATCACGTGTACACAATATGACGTAGTTTGCATAGTTTAGTGCGTGCGCAGGTGTCACATCGTAGTGATCGCTTTGGAGTCGTCGCGAAACGAACAATTGTTTTTGTTGCAAATTGCATTCTTTTGTTTGCATATAAACCCACCCTCTTCAGTCTTTACACAACTGTACTTTGTATGTACGAGGAATAGGTCAATAAATCGATTTGGTTAGAGTTCATTTATCTCTCTGATTGCGGCAGATGTGAGAAACGGAAGTGAAGTCCGCCATGTTCCGATGACAAATTCTCCTTGATGAACACTGACAGATTTTCGATTTTTTCTTCCGAGAAATTTAAGAACCGACTGAGATTGACAGGATTTTTCATGAGACTGTTCTTCTTTTATAGGTGAGTTGCATATGTCAATATTTATGTAAGACCTTAATGAAATATTAAGTTGATCTGCTGTAAATATTACTGAGAGTCGAACGATTATTGACAAGTGACATCACCAGGGTCATTAGAATAAGCTTGCCTATGAAAGTAAAATAAAGGTCATTTACCTGTTTAACTGCTCATTCCAGCGACTTAGTGATTATTTGAACGCATTTCTAGAAGCATGATATGGATCAATTTCATACTTTATATTTTTTTGGTATTAATTTCCCAAATTCCGAGATTTTTTTCTGGTAATTTGATTGTCTTGCTTCATATAGTAGTATTTTGAGTCATAGCTAGACTAACACAGTAGAACAATGGTTTCATGATTTGAATTTCGTTACCCAATGGAGTCTTATTCCCATAGTTCAACTATTAGATTTGAATGACAATTACATATATTTGGAAAGGTTTCTGTACAGTTATCCACATGTAATATGTACTGTATATAGATCTTCAAAACAAATACTGTACTTGTAATTAGTCACATGTCTCACGTATGAATGATAAATTGCAAATGTACAGTAAGTTGACCTTTTAAATGTGAAATTGTTGTGCTGCAGGACAATTTATTCCCTGTTTATAATTTTGTATTTCCCAACTTACCCAGAAGACTGACAGGTTAACTATGATATTGATGCTTCGTTGTTAAGAGTGAATAAAAAAGAAGAGAAAGCTGTAAAAGTCTTGAATTTACACGTGAAGCGAGCATGGATTTCCAGCAGTGCATTATACCACTAGTTTCTTAAAGGACTAAAAAAAATCCAAATTATTCCCTTGTTCTGCCCAAAAATAGCTTGAAAAATACACCTTCAAATTTGTGGGCCGGTGGAAATGGACTATTTGTCTGTCCCTCTAGTTTGTTAATGTTTGCTATATAACGTATAGTAGTCAGTTGCATTGCATAATCATAATTCAAATGTATGGATACAGCTGCACATGCAACTGCATACTTATTCAGTGAGTTGCTGAAAACGTCCAAGGATTATATACAGTACTGAGAGAAAACAGAAAATATCAATTCAAATATAACTTTTCAGGAAATATGAAATGATGTCCTTTGGTATTTCTCTAAGTTATACTAACAGTTTGAAGATCTATGTGGTGGCATTTGGTTGGGTTTTATGGCAAAAAAAAATGACTTAAAATGCATCATTAAATATAAGACTATCATAGGTCGACGCTAGCATAGCAAGGTTTAATAAATGTAGTATATTTGTCTCAAGCAAATAACATGTCAATTTATGACTTGAGGACAGCGGATCTCTTAAATACCCAGTAGTTCATTTACTGATATGTGTTATCTGTCTTAGTTCATATATAAATAACTTAAAAGGAACATTGAGGTATTTGCACAACTTAGGGTTTCAGACCAGCTTATAAAAACGTACATATCTGCCAAATAGTAGACTTTTTATTTTGATGCTTGTTCTTAATTCATTCCTTTTACTGTATGTTATGAAGAAACCCAGTTGTTTAAATCAGATCTTTTATTCTAAAAAAAAAAAAAGCCAGGTTTATAAGGCACATGTGATTAGTGTGGTAGTTAAACTTGGACAGGTTGATAAACTTACTTACAATTTGCATTTTTCAATGAACTGTGGTGAAAGAATTATGAACTGCTCTCTCTAGATATATATATAAGCTTTAGATTATCAAGGAAATATTCTTGATAGCATTATATCAAAATATAATATTACACTTTAACATGTATTTTGATTATTTTGATAACTTCATTTATATTTTTATGCAACAAATTTGCTGAGGCTCTCACCTTAAGAAATTACATTATTTTTGTTAGGCAATTCTTAGGCTAAAGACTGATAATTGTGGTTATTTGTTATTGATTGAGGTAGGCTAAAGCAGTTGTGTCTGGCTCTGACATTGAAAATTGACACCTTGAAGGGTGCTTAATATTCAATGAGACTTTAGTGTAGCATCTGCAAGAACTAAATCAGACTAAATGACCAGAGTAAGTCAATGTCATGCTTTGACCTTTGCTATCCACAGGTAAACCTAAAGAAAATATTTCATGTAATATGATGTTATTGACCTATTATCAATCAATTTAGCAGTGCTTTGTAGACGAAATGCTTTCCGTTTAATTTCTCTTTCAGATAAAGGTCAGTGTAGGAAAAGTTGTTCGCGATCTCTTGCGAAAAATATCTTAAAGCATTTTTTTATTCTTATTTTAGGTGAAATAAAATATCTAAATGGAACAGGTGGAAAAAACTAGCCTGGAAACAGGGGAAATTGAGGATGGAGGAACATTGAAGAGAAAGAAACTGAAAGAAAAGCAAGAAGATAATTCAGAAGAAGAAGAAGAGAACGACGACTCAGCCAGTCATATGGAAACAGAAAAGCCTGCTCAGGATGGTGAAGAGGACTGTTCAGATCATGCTGTTCCAGAGGAAGATAAAGCCATGACTAATATTGATGGTGTAGAACTTTCTGAAGGAGCACCAGGAGGGGAAGATAACAGTGACCCTGTTTTAAACATGTCTGTCTCTGTTATTGAGACAGACAACACATCTGAAGACTTAACAGAGACTGATAATTTAAGCATGGTAGTGAATATCAGTAGCTCTCGGAGAGCTAGTGACGTCAGTAATGTGTCCTTTCCAAATTTCCAGTTAGAAGATGCAGGGAATGCAGAGGGCGAGGACCAGGATGTAGACTGCGATGTCGATCCAGAGACTCCCTATCAGCNGGGACGATGTGTGGGGAGGTGTGTGAGAGGCGGAGAGACTATTAAAAGATTAGGCGTTTTTTCTTTCATGTACGTCCGCCATATTTAGTCCCCAGGATTTGTAAAGCCTGGCTCAACTCGTTGTGAATGCAATCTTAGAGGTACTTCACACAGCATTCAGTTTAGCTGCTTGCACTCAGCTAGAGTCCCCGCAGATTTGGTTCGATTTTCATAGACCAATGGTGTCTATAGGAATGGGCCCTTTTCACATTGTGAAGCATACTGTACTTATACCTATGCATTACAGCAACACTTTAACTGGTCCTATATGTGACTATGTGCACTAGTGAAATCAGGATTTTGCCAGAGAGGAGGGTTGTGGCGCAAGCTTTAAATTTTTTGTATGTCAAATGATCGTATCAAACATGATATAATAGGCAGCCCCCCTCCCCTAGATCTGCCACTGCTTATAATCAGTACATGTAACTACTACTAGTACCTCAGCAAACTGTGTGATCATGATACCCTTCCTTCCATAGGAAACTGAGGTAATGGGTCTTGACTTATAATAATAACAATGGTGGTGCCAACAGAACAATATAAGGTACCAGTGGCTCCCTTCAGTTTGTATAATGGTTAGATATTGTATGTTACCATGCAGGCTGCCTAATGAGTAAAGATAATAATAAGTCAAACCCAATAAAATTTACCATAAAAATTTGCATAAAATGCCTGCATTTCTGAAACTCACCCATGCTCCAAAAACAGAACTCTGATCAAGTTGCCTTGCAAGTATTCCATCAATTCCTGTTAAGAGATACCAGAATCAAAATTAAATAATATATATAGTTTATATACATACTGATATAAGCGATATCTTAAAATTTGGCAAGGTAACAATTTTGTGTGAGTGCATGCACATTAATTGTGATGTTTATCTAGTACAGTAGACACCACGTGGAAAAATATATATATAGATATAGATAGACTTACCATCTAAAATAACAGAGCTTACATAAACAGGTAAGAAGACTTCAGGTTTGTTAAAATATGTCCATGATATTGCCAACAACACTAGTCTCACATAGCCTGGAATGATATAAATGCACTAAGTACAGTATACTGTAAAAATAAAATCAATATTTCTGTTTAAGTGACAGTCTTCTTCTTATTAATAAACAAAACTGGATTACATTACTATCTGCAGGGCAAACCAACCAATTTGCTCTTAGATATAACAAAGATAACTCAGGGCAGTAGAAATGGCAGATACATCCAAGAAATGAAGAGGGGAAAAACATCTTGCAAGTGGTCCTTAACCAAAGTGCTTGCATGGCCATGGCAAAATTGCTTTAAAGACAAATGGGGTTTTCTTTTCCTTTTTGTATCAAAAGTAATTAATTTTTGCAATTCATATCATTATGATGACAAAAAAATATACAAGTCAACTATAAACTGCATCAGCTAGATGAAACCCACAGAAATTGAAGATAATTACAAATTCAGGACCAAGACCATCTTCAGGAGGTGTCAATTAATGCATTTCTTGTGAGAATCAATCACCTATAATTTGAATAAATGAACTTATATATATTTTAACTAAATTGGCAATATATAGGAAGGAGATCAGTGTCTCATGATCAGTTGAATCTGTTCAAACCAAAACTAAATGCCTTAAAAAATTAGTTTTAATTTTTTATAGAAACAACAAAATTATTCAAGTAAACTACAGTACAGTATAAATGACTTTGCAGCCCTAAAGTTTGTTCAACATTACATTATTGTGGCTTCAAGAGTTTGTATTAATCTGTGCAAGGATATGAATTAACCCACGTGTTACTGCATTTGTGTACTTGTAAAATGCCTTGTATTTTAGGAAGCCTGCTTTCAAAAATCACTGTTAAATCATCTTATTCTCTGTTAAGAGCATGCCTCTAGCTCGACTTGTTGGACTTGTTTCCAATTTTTTTTAAAAATCTATCATTAATCATCTATCATTCCAATGTTGCCCAAATGAAAAAAGCACCCATACGTACCGACAATGTTTGGTATATATAAAAGAACTTCATAACCCATAGTAGTTTAATAAGCAGGACAAAACATAATCACAACACAACATGGGTCTTGTTTACATCACGTGTACACAATATGACGTAGTTTGCATAGTTTAGTGCGTGCGCAGGTGTCACATTGTAATGATCGCTTTGGAGTCGTCGCGAAACGAACAATTGTTTTTGTTGCAAATTGCATTCTTTTGTTTGCATATAAACCCACCCTCTTCAGTCTTTACACAACTGTACTTTGTATGTACGAGGAATAGGTCAATAAATCGATTTGGTTAGAGTTCATTTATCTCTCTGATTGCGGCAGATGTGAGAAACGGAAGTGAAGTCCGCCATGTTCCGATGACAAATTCTCCTTGATGAACACTGACAGATTTTCGATTTTTTCTTCCGAGAAATTTAAGAACCGACTGAGATTGACAGGATTTTTCATGAGACTGTTCTTCTTTTATAGGTGAGTTGCATATGTCAATATTTATGTAAGACCTTAATGAAATATTAAGTTGATCTGCTGTAAATATTACTGAGAGTCGAACGATTATTGACAAGTGACATCACCAGGGTCATTAGAATAAGCTTGCCTATGAAAGTAAAATAAAGGTCATTTACCTGTTTAACTGTTCATTCTAGCGACTTAGTGATTATTTGAACGCATTTCTAGAAGCATGATATAGATCAATTTCATACTTTATATTTTCTTGGTATTAATTTCCCAAATTCCGAGATTTTTTCTGGTAATTTGATTTTGTCTTGATTCAAAGTATTTTGAGTCATAGACTAACACAGTAGAACAATGGTTTCATGATTTGAATTTCGTTATCCAATTGAGTCTTATTCCCATAGTTCAACTATTAGATTTGAATGACAATTACATATATTTGGAAAGGTTTCTGTACAGTTGCCCACATGTACAGTAATATGTACTGTATATAGATCTTCAAAACAAATACTACTTGTAATTAGTCACATGTCTCATGTATGAATGATAAATTGCAAATGTACAGTAAGTTGCCCTTTTTAATGTTAAATTGTTATGCTGCAGAGCAATTTATTCCCTGTTTATTATTTTGTATTTCCCAACTTACCGAGAAGATTGACAGGTTATGATGTTGATACTTCGTTGTTATTTACACATACATGAAGTGAGCATGGGTTTCCAGCAGTGCATTACACCACTAGTTTCTTAAAGGACTAAAATAAATCCAAATTATTCCCTTGTTCTGCCCAAAAATAGCTTGAAAAATACACCTTCAAATTTGTGGGTGGAAATGGACTATTTGTCTGTCCCTTTAGTTCGTAAATGTTTGCTGTATAACGTAGTATTCACTTGCAATGCACAATCATAATTCAAATGTATGGATACAGCTGCACATGCAACTGCATACATATTCAGTGAGTTGCTGAAAATGACCAAGGATTATATACAGTACTGAGAGAAAACAGAAAATATCAATTCAAATATAACTTTTCAGGAAAATAAATATGAACTCATGTCCTTTGGTATTTCTCTAAGTTATACTAACAGTTTGAAGATATGTGGTGGCATTTGATTGGGTTTTATGGCAAAAAATTGACTTAAAATGCATCATTAAATATAAGACTATCATAGGTCGACGCTAGCATAGCAAGGCTTAATTAATGTAGTTTATTTGTCTCAAGCAAATAACTTGTCAAATTATGTTTTGAGGACAGCGAATCTCTTAAATACCCAGAAGTTCAATAAATTACTGATATGTGTTATCTGTCTTAGTTCATATATAAATAACTTTAAAGGAACATTGAGGTATTTGTACAGCTTAAGGTTTCAGACCAGCTTATAAAAACATGTACATATCTGCCAAATAGTAGACTTTTTTATTTTGATACATGTACTTAATTCATCCCTTTTACTGTATGATATGAAGAAACTCAGTTGTTTAAATCAGATCTTTTATTCTAAATAAAAAGTCGGGTTTATAAGGCACATGTGATTAGTGTGGTAGTTAAACTTGGACAGGTTGATAAACTTACTTACAATTTGCATTTTTCAATGAACTGTGGTGAAAAAATTATGAAGTGCTCTCTCTTGATATGTAAGCTTTAGATTATCAAGGAAATATTCTTGACAGCATTATATCAAAATATAATATTCCACTTTAACGTGTATTTTGATTATTTTGATAAATTCATTTATATTTTTATGCAACAAATTTGCTGAGGCTCTCACCTTAAGAAATTACATTATTTTTGTTAGGCAATTTTTAGTCTAAATACTGGTTATTTGTTATTGATTGAGGTAGGCTAAAGCAGTTGTGTCTGGCTCTGAAATTGAAAATTGACACCTTGAAGGGTGCTTAATATTCAATGAGTCTTTAGTGTAGCATCTGCAAGAACTAAATCAGACTAAATGACCAGAGTAAGTCAATGTCATGCTTTGACCTTTGCTATCCACAGGTAAACCCAAAGAAAATATTTCATGTAATATGATGTTATTGACCTATTATCAATCAATTTAGCAGTGCTTTGTAGACGAAATGCTTTCCGTCTAATTTCCCTTTTAGATAAAGGTCAGTGTAGGAAAAGTTGTTCGCGATCTCTTGTGAAAAATATCTTAAAGCAGTTTTTTATTCTTATTTTAGGTGAAATAAAATATCTAAATGGAACAGGTGGAAAAAACTAGCCTAGAAACAGAGGAAATTGAGGATGGAGGAACATTGAAGAGAAAGAAACTGAAGGAAAAGCAAGAAGATAATTCAGAAGAAGAAGAAGAGAACGACGACTCAGCCAGTCATATGGAAACAGAAAAGCCTGCTCAGGATGGTGAAGAGGACTGTTCAGATCATGCTGTTCCAGAGGAAGATAAAGCCATGACTAATATTGATGGTGTAGAACTTTCTGAAGGAGCACCAGGAGGGGAAGATAACAGTGACCCTGTTTTAAACATGTCTGTCTCTGTTATTGAGACAGACAACACATCTGAAGACTTAACAGAGACTGATAATTTAAGCATGGTAGTGAATATCAGTAGCTCTCGGAGAGCTAGTGACGTCAGTAATGTGTCCTTTCCAAATTTCCAGTTAGAAGATGCAGGGAATGCAGAGGGCGAGGATCCGGATGTAGACTGCGATGTCGATCCAGAGACTCCCTATCAACAAGATGGTGACGACTACCAACCCGAGGACTATGACGTGGATTGCGATATGCCACTTGAGCTGGGCCCAGATACTGCAGGATGTTTAAGTATGCATGAAAGCAAATTGGATTACACTGATCAGATTAAGGAGAGAATAGATAAGAGGAAACACAAGGTCAACACCTCTGAGGAAATTCAAGGAGATTCCAATAAGATTAAAAGTGGTGATGTACTGCCAGGAAACAAGAAAATGGAGTCATTTCAGCAGCCTTTAGAAGGGGTCCATTTTCATGATAGACTGCACGACAATGAAATTAAAATAGATGGAAATAGTTCCAGTGATTTGGCTGACCTTGGTGTCAAGAGAAGAAACCCAGGCCATTATAATAAGACAACACACAGTGAAGCAGACGGTGGCTCAGATTTTTCTGCTGCTGCTGCAGTAAATGCCAATTATAATGGTATTCAAAAACGCAACAGTGCAGAAGTGAGGAATAATATCCCAGATGTCAGTGAAGTAAAGAGTTATGACATAGACACTGTCACTGATATGAAATCTGTGAGTTCCAATGTACTGCCTAGAATGAAGAAGAAGTCTCCAGGTTTAGCTCGCCGCATTGCAGATAAAGAGATATTGGATAGAGACACCTCTAGTTCTGAGAGAGAAACAGATCTAGATGTTTCTCTGAGAATGCATAGGAATATAAAATCTAATTTACCATCCAAGACTAATGGAGCAGAAAAGCATGTTGAAATTGAAACTTATGATAATGTTCACAGTACAAATGGTGCAATACATGGAACTGAGGGGATCAAATACCTTGATATCAAGGATTCAAAAGACCCTACAAATGACATTGCAAATGAATATGATTATGTAAAATTTATGCGTGTGCAACCTGGCAGCTCTTATGTTGGGATGAGGCTGGCCTATTCTACATCAGATAAGCCAAATGGCAGTAGCAGGGACAGTTTGACAAACATAGGTGGTGACATTACCCCAGAGAGCCAAATGACACCCAAAAGAACTCCCCATCAATCCCATGGTAATGGCACCAGTTTTAACCCCAAATTATTAGAGGAGAATTTGACTGAGATTCCTCTGAATTCTGACAGTTCCCAGACTGAAGGCAAGTACTTGTCTTTGTCTCCAGAAAACACAGAGTGTGACAGTGCAGAGGTGGAGAGCATCTGTTCAGACAGTGGCCTGGCCACCAACCTCATGCCCTCGGTGGAAGACGGCCTCTCTAGCAGCCAGCCCAGTGACAGTGATGACGGCCCGGCAGACAAAGACATAGAAAACCCTATAGATATTTTGCAGTCTAAGCAAAGGGCTGAGGCAGAACAGTTTTTAAAGTCCACAAGTACGCATGGTGTGAGCGACTCTCCCCAACACCCTCTTCCCACAGTAACTAGTAGATCAGCGGCACGCAGTGTGGCACAGCTTGACTTATCTTCCTACACACTGGATCCTCTGATGATGAAGCAGTATGAGCAAGATAAACCCAATGATGTGAGCCAGGCCCTACATGATATCACCGTGGCCATAAAGAAGAGCAAGAGTATGCCACTTAAAGCCCCATATCATAAAACAAATGGTGGAGAAAGCTCTGAAAGCCAAGAAGAACCAGTATGGGTAATGAGGTAATATATTATGAAATTTTCTGATCAAAGCAATTTTTATGTGCAATATCATGCTTGTCAGAGCAGTATTGAATAGATGAACAATGTCCGTTTGTAATGAAAGAAGTGCCATGTCTATTTTGTTCTTTATTGATTTTAAAGACCAATCTTTGCACTTCTGTGTATTTACCCACCATCTTTCCTAGATCATCAATATCATTAGTCTTTTTTTATAGACAGACGTGGTGTTTCCAATGTGAAGTGCATCACTTCCCATCATGTTCCAGATCAGCTGTGTCAAAAAAAAAAAAAAAAGAAAAAAAAAATTGAAATGACGTGTGCGGACACTGCTGCCATTACTCCCCATCAATCCAGTTTATATTTGAATTTCTTTGTTGAACTATGGGTGCATTCAAAGTTAATTTATCCTACTAGCTACTGCGCACTAAGACCCCATTTCCATAGATTTTAGATCGATCTATCCCTGTGGGGAGTCTCACTAGATTACTGTCAGCTTAGCCGGTTTAAGCGTCTGTCCCGCCTACCGAAAGCTGTAAGGGGGTAATTAACTATGGTGCACGCTCGGCTTAGCATGAACCCCCAGGGAGTTGGGTCAATCTAAATCTTAATCCCTGGATCGATCTAAATCTCTGGGAATACACCCTAACTCCATGGACACTCTCACTGATTGCAATCACATTAACAGGCCTCCCCCTGGTGTTGAGTAGAGTACACAAAACTGGTGATTATAAGGGATATGTTGAAACAAAAGGTGTGTTAATCAGATTGCACCCAGTGAGAGGCCCCTTGGAATTAGTGGACAGTAGCTAGTATGATAGATTCATTGGGAACGCACCCTATGATGCTTCTTTATATTCAGAAACAGAAATGGATAAGGTAATTGTAAATGAAATTACTGTTTTCTTTTTAGGGATAGTTATACAAAAAAGGTGCAGCGCCAGGAACAAATGCAGAAAATGCGTCAAGAGATGGAACATCTGCAAGAGCAAGAATTAAGAAGCAGAGAAGAAGAAAAAGGTCTGTACAGATGTATATTAGTATTGAGAAATTATATGCAATTTTTGACAGATGCTGTACTGTCATATACTAGTACATGAATGTTTTACAGGCCTTGCCTTCTAATAGGATTTAGATGAGTTGATAGTAACATGAATTGATTTTTCTATTTTAAGAAAAATAGTGTTACAAAACAGATATTTCAATTCGGAAATATTTTGTGACTGGCATTTGGCACATTAGTGGGATTATAAATGTGAATATAAAATTGGAACATTGAAGCTGGTATAACTTAATAGCTCTCAGATAGATATTAAGTTGTGTAAAAAAAGTGAAACAATGAGTATCCTTTAGGAAGGTGTGGGGCATGATTCATAAGTATTACTTTTAAAAATTATGTTACCAGTCATTAAGTTGATTAGGTTTGTCAAAGACTGGCATGGCAATGTAATTCTGTTTGAATTGTTGTTGCAGTGTTTAAATTAGAAGAAGAAGAAGACAAATTGTTACAGGACAAGTACAGCCACGGGCAGGAACCAAAAGGTAGAATATTGCAACATTGTGTAGTGCCACCATTGTGGCTAGTAGAACTGAAAAACCAAAATTGAGAGCAGGGTTTATATTGTACATTGTCATCAACAAACAGTAGCAATCTGATACGGATGCATGGTTGTGTGTGCATTATGTTTGCATGTCCTTTTGAAATGTTAGAAATGAATGTTATATAAATAGCTAATCAGATGCCCACTAACTGCATTCTCAGCATTGGTTGAATGAGTATTCAGTGTACATTACAAGGGGAAAAATTCATAGAATCCATATAAGGTATTGTCAAGAATCTAGTGTGATGTTTCAGGTAACGATACATAATGTTTGTTTAATTCTTTGAATAGCGTGGATTTAATGGTACTTTTGTCTCCTTAACTAGTTCTAAATATGCGCTGAATTATTTGGTTTTTACTACTGTTATGAGTAATTTGAAAGACTTGGATTTCTGATATTCACTTACCAGATAGCCAAGCCTCCAATTGTGAAGGTAATCTTATGGACATCGAAGTTGTAAAGACCTTTGTTTGTTGTTGCCAGTCCTCACATGATGTCTGTGTCTGATGTTTAACAGTATGATATGTATTGTGAAGAAAACTGGGCTTGCTGTGATATATTTGTCCCACATGTCCAACTTAAATGTTCGCAGTATCTGTCTTCACTGTTGGTTTGATATTTAGCTGTATAAATACAGGTTAAAAAAAAAAAAACTCAAATACCCAGTTCTGTAAGGCAAAATGTTTTTATCATAATATATCAGTTAAAGCTAAAAAATAAACTTCATGTTTGACTCAGCTTTAATGTAAGCAGTTCTCAAGCATGTAACAGTATCTGTGGTGAAGACTGTGTGATTATTTGCATTAAGTTGTCCAATTATCAGTCTGTAGGTTTTGCTGAATTGTTCTATTGTTTAGTGTTTTTTGTGGCAGAGTAAATCATTCCCTAGGCACCCTTCTTATTTACAGTGTGACAGTTTCAATCATTCATGCAGATTGCATTTTTGTCTGTCATATCACAGTATCTATTTCCATTTTCCACAATGCTTCCACGTTCAATTATCATAATCAAAGGAGTAATGATGTAAAATATCTGATTTGAGATAACGCCATTGGTAATCAAGCAGTTCCTAGTTTTACTTACCCCCCCCCCCCCAATGAAAACATATTTTGCAGATTTACTTTCTTTTTGTAAATCCCCCTGACAAGGTTATTTCATTTTCATTACTAAGACAAAAAGTGTAAAAAAAAACTTGTTAATTACTTGTTTACCAGCTTGCACCATGTTTACTAACTTGTTATGAGTTTACATGTTTTATTAATGTGAATTGTTAATGTTTCATGATATTAAATGCAACCATGCTGTTATTTTCTTTCTTTTTTTTTTTATTAAAAATGTTGCAATTTGTAATTACTTAATGCCTGTAAGTGTTTATTGTTTTGCATTTATTATTTTGCTGTTTAAATCTTTAAATCGTGAGCATGATATTGATCCAGCCATGATAGGAACTATACATACATGTTGAGTCTAGCACCACTTTGCTTCACAAGCAGCAACCTGGTAGCTATGTAGACTTGACATATACTGCAGACAGCAGAAGTTGTTTTTGGCAAAAACATCTTTGTTTTACTACATGAGCTTTGCATGTTACTTTCAGAATACATTTACTAATGCTTATTTCCTGCATGCTGTTTGTAGGTTATTGTAGTGATGATGAATATGAAGAGCATGACAGAGATATTGCAAAGTCATTTTTTCAACGTAAAAAGAAGTATGCATCTGTGCCTGTTGAAGATACTTCTGACACTACATATGTGCGCCCAGACTCCTATGTTAAAAGTAGTTATAGTGGTGGAAATGTGGGTAACTCTCATTCACTGTCATCACATGGAAGCCTGAGAAATCAAAAGGCACTAGGAGAGAGCAGTTACAGCAGGCCACAAACTTTTCAAGATTCGCCACAATCCAGGAAAGTTAGTGGTCGACGAATAGCTGACCACAAACGTAACAGTTATTCGTGTGACGAGGAAAGTGAGGGAAGTCAGGACAGTCTGGAGTCTGCTGGGCCGCGGGGCGGTGCATACACCAAGCATGAAGAGAGAGGTATCTAACTTCCTCTGTGTAAGCCTACTGTGGCATCTTGTGGTGGCAGCAATCTCTTTCATTATTCTCAGCTCTATTTCACCTCACTGCACGGCATTTGTCACACGCCGAGTCTCCATGCACTTCACTTTTCTGCAAGTGGAAAGTTTCCAAATGTTCTTTGGGATAATCACAGGTTTTTTTGGTGCAGATTTCTCTGATTGTTTATAAAGAACATGCGTTTTGTAACCTCCGTTCATGCATACTTTCCTCCCACAATCTTGCTTTTCTAAATAACATGCATGAACAAACTTACTGATAATCATGTCTTTTTATTGAGCATGGAATGATATTTGAAGTGTACTAACAGATTTTTTTGCTTCCCTCTTTATGCATGCATGCTTGTTTGCGTGTCTCTTTTCTGTTTAAACAGGTTATAAGTGTTGTTATATTGCAAATTTAATGTTAAAGTGAGCATTTTTTTTTTTTCAAATTTTTCCTTTTGTTAGAAATTTATATGCCCCTGGACTAAGTTTAGGGGTATAATGGATTTTGATTATCAGTCTGTGTGATTATAGCCAAAAATGTAGAACCAGGAATCATTATAACTGATATTATAAAGATAATACTTTTTGTCACATTCATTCTAAATATAACCTGAAGCATTGCTGTTAGGGTGAAGGACAAATCAGCAAATGCTACCATTTAAAATTAGATTTCTGAGGTTTTTCACATGGACTTCTTTTTAATTTGAACTTCCTTCGTTTAATTTGCACATTTTCTACCATTCTGGTGATGGGTTTTACTTCCACAACACATATTTATATCTTTCATTCTTGCTTACAGTATAAGTGGATGTGGGCAAAAGTGGCAAAATTCTTGTAGCGTTTCTTAATATGATATGTAACGTTATCATGTCTGACCACTCTGTTTCCTAATTTATCATGTGTATTTTCATATGTAGTAAGTTGTCAATTTTTTTCAATCATAAAAAATAATAAAGATGTCAGTTAAAATATGGTTCTTTTCTATCATTTACCCAGTAATATCTAATAATTTAAATTTAGCTGTCTGAAATGTAATTACAAAATTTACACATTTGTCATTCGGTTTCCTAAAGATGTTAAATTAAGTTTGACCTATTATCAGACACAGATACAGATGAGGAGACAGACCAGCTTCTTGATAAACAATATACAAAGGATACCCATGTGGACATCCCTGAACTAAATGATGCTCCAGCCACTAGACAGGTACAAGTAGCCTATGGCTGCAGACACTGGCATATGCTTGTATGCATGATAATATAGAAAAATATGCACGGATAAAGAGGAGAGCAAAAGTTGAATTTAGAGAGAATGGAATTAGCTTTGGGTGTTTCTGCTGTATTGGTGATTTTAAACCAAGTATAAAAGCAAATTCAAGGCAAGATTTCTGTGCATTTAAATACCACAAGTGCAGACTTGTATAATTATGTCACTGATTCAGTACTGTACATGAAAACATAATTTAGTTTAGGTCTTGCATGGCGGTAACAACAAACCACAAATTTAATTGATTCTTCAATACAAAGAGTGAAGTTTTTGAAGCAGTGTGTCATTGTCAGCTATATTCAGATATATATTAGTCACTTTTTCCTCATGCTACTAATACTGCTGATCACCTGTTATTTGATATTTTCCAGGCAAACAAGTTACGAGCCAAAGAAGGTGAGCAGGAATCATGTAAGCTATCCATTTTAATACTTAATATCGATGTAACTCATTGTTGTGCTACTCCAAGCACATTTGGTGCTTTTGATGTTGTGGTCTTCTTTGCAAAATAGGTGAGTTAGATCATTTTAGATTATTTAGAATTATGGAAATGAATTTATTTCATTTAATTTGCAAAGCTTTGTCGTTATGGTGTTCAAAATTCATTAAGGAATGTTTTTGTACAGTAGTTCTGATGATGTTTTTTTACCGTTATTTCATCTTGAGAATGATTCTCTATTTATAAGTTATTAGCCACTGCCTTTTAAAAGGATACATGCAATTTTCTCTGCAATATACAATTGCTGCCCTTATTGATATTATCTTTCGCAATGCACACTATCTAACTGAGCTTTTATCAGCAGATATTTGCATGCTTTTGAACTGGGGTTAAAATAAATCAGTTTTATATTCAGGCTTTGTGGACATTAATTATGTACAGAGGCTTCAGTGGATGCACAGACATCTTACCTTTGCCTGTGTTTTTAACATTATTAATACTGAGTTCTTTTTCACTTCTTTCTAGCTTGCTGTCATTCTGTTCACTGAGACATTATTAAGTAAAACATTTTTTGGTCTAAAGCTATTTCAAAATTTGAGCACAGCATTTGTTAAGAAATTAAAAGATTAAAAAGTTCAAAACATGAAATACGATCAGCCAATCCAACACTGACATCCTTCTTTTTATTTATATAGCATTTTAAGGCAGAAATGTTTTGCTTGTGAAATTAAATCCTCAATATGTTTGGAGGCAACCTTTTTTATGAATAAAAATTGAAAAAAACTTGAACATAGTAGGCTGTTTCAAATTGATTGTTTTGAAAGTGGGCAGATTAATGTTCCTGAAAATTGATGAACAGTTTTCAGCCAGAAGCATAACGGCTCTTTCTTCAAACCCTATATAAAGCTTTGCTATAGTTGGTCTACTTTATTGTGAATATATCTGTCTTCTGTCAGTACCAAAACTAACTTTAATGTTGATATTTTTCTTAAGAAATCATGACTCTTGACAATTTAAACAAGTCTAAGAAAAGTAGAACTAATTGGACTAGATTAAATTATATCGGAAATAGTGCAACTTTTGCCAACATGACAGTACTCAGAATTTAATCCTAAATAATGCTACTCATTAGAAAGAATATTTAAAAATTGAGGTAGTTATCTGCATGCATTTTTTTCTTTTTGTTCATTGTTTATGAGTATTATGCTTTTTTATAACATAACAAACTTGATTTCTTTAATTTCCCACAACCTAATATTTAACATTGTGGTGAGTACTCCATATTTACCTGATGATGGTGGTTAAGTGTGGTAGAGGTGCTTTGGGGACGTGGAGTGAGTTGTGATGAAGGTGCTGGTAGTAATGTATTTTGTCTGGTGGAAATATTATGACTCCTCCGTGTTACGGCTTTAGACCTCACTCTCTCTCTTTGTCCAGTCTTCTGCTCTGCGAGGGGAAAAGTAGGAAAGAAATATCTATATTCAGACTGTGACACTTTGTATTAAATGAAAAACAAGTGCTTAAGTTAATTTTTTTTTTTTTTACTTTGGAGAGTATAATGGTAATGTTGTATATTGCCGGCAAAAGCCTCTGTCTAGGTACCCATTGCTAATGCCCAATATTTCTTGAAATTGGTGCATACTTAAAAACTTAAAGATGAAGAATGCTTCTAACTCTTAAAAGATGAGCATAGTTGATGTTTTTGAATGTTTTCATTTAAACAAATATAAATGTGTTGCTCTTGTATTTCGCTTTTACATCATCTTTCCCTGAGAGCAATATTTTTCCTTGTTTGCTTTTATTCTCTCCAATGGGAAGTTTATATTTGTAAATTCATCATACTTTCACTTTTCTTTTTTGCTAGTCTTTGTTTCAGTTCCTTTGTTATTTAAAAGTTTTACCATTGCTTCTTGTTTTTTTGTATATTTGGTGAAGATTTGTTTATTCCTCTTGGGCAGCTTTTATATGTTAGTTGTATTGCTGGTATTTACAATAATAGTAGTTGTTGGAGAATGAATTTCAACTAAATTTAAGTCTTTTCATACCAAAGTACTGATAATGGTCTTGGGTTCAGTGTTCCTCAGTAAAAAAGCTTGTAGATAGATTTTAATACCCAAGTAATGATTGCTTTCTCTTTATGGAATCTTGCTACTTGCTTTAACTTGGCATATTAGGGTGTTTACGTTTAATGGAAAATCCAAATAATATGTAATAAAACTCAAAATAGTTCTTGTTTCTTTGTGCTACAGGCTAAACATTATATGAAGCTTAACCGATACCAAGCACTAGGTTTACACAGGGGTATGACCTAACAACATAAATGATTAAATAAAAAAGATAACATGTCTGATTGTCTTCAATTCCTCACTGACCACATTATGTTTGCAGTGACTGTCTATGATCCTGACCAACCTACAGTTTTGATAGAGGGGGTTCTGTTTAGAGCCCTGTACCTGGGCTCCACCCAGCTCATCTCCGAGGGCACGCCCTCCAAGGCCATGAGGATGATGCAAGCCCAGGAGGCTGTGGGGAGAATAAAGGTGAGAGCTGTGATCTCTTTGTGTAAGATTATTTGTGATATTTGATTGTGATGCTTAATAGAATGTAGCAACAGATTGTGTTTTTGTATTTTAATGGACATTTTATATGCATGGTTTGTAAAGTGATATAGAATATGACATTAATTTTACAATGCTATATGTTTGGTTTGTGGCTAATTATAGTTAAGATATCTTTCATGGCATTGTGCAAGATCACATCCGTTATTATGTGATTAGAAGTTCAAGATGTTTGTTCATGTTAAAGAAATTTGGATAGATCAGTCACCCTATGGACCGCATAACAAGTCCACTGACAGAGTCCCTATTTAAACATCTTTCCAAAATATTTATTGGACTAACATTTTCTCTCTTATTTAGATTTATTATTTCATCTTCACCAGTGTAGTGGTTTTTTCTTTTACATAAACAACTAGAATGCATTATGTCACATGTGAAACAGTTGGCTTGGTTGATGGTTTTGCTTTTAATATATATATATATATATATATATATATATATATATATATATATATATATATATATATATATATATATTGAATTTCCTAAATAAACACAACCTAGGTCTGAATAAGCATTTCTGTAAAATAATCTCTCTGTCATCTCTGTCATTTGGTTACGTAAGTCTTAAAATGGTTTAAGTCGATGAAATCATATTGAAATAATACTCAATGATTTTACCCAATATGTATACATGTAATGAATGTTGGGATCATACCTGGCCTTGTACATGGGATTGCCATGTTTGTTTTCTTCTCAGTACAATGTCTGGTACATGTAAATGAATGGAGTTGTGTAATGAGTCGTGTTTTGTTATGTACAGACACTGTTGTGCCTGTATGTTTCACCATCACCAGTCTGCCAGCTTTCCTGACAACACATTAACTTGAATATGATATTTTTAATTAATCAAGTGCCATATTTGTTTGGAGTCAACTATAACCTTTTGATAAATCATAGAGGAGATCAGGATTATCATGTTATTGGCAATTCTAAGTAGTTTGTTCTAGCTTTACATTTGTAAGTATTTTAGAGATATTCTTTGAAATTCACCAGAACAAGTCACAGTTTTTCACTGTACTTCTGAGTGTTTACTAATGCTATCTCTTCTTTCTTTGCTGACCATACTCAAATCTGCTAAGGCTTCGGTAAGTCTGAGGGTTAAAAAGCAATGGAGAATATGTTTGGATCACTGTCTGTGGATTTTTGTGCCCACTTTTCAATAAGAAATTGTCAACTCAGCTTTTTGTCCTTCTACAATCTGATACATGATTGGAATGATGATGCATGTGTTAAAACCTAAATCTAAGTTGTCTAAGATATTTTTAATAATAGTAAGTTGAATGTGCATGTCAATGATTTCTATAAAATTCATGTGGCTGTGTATTTGCTGTACAGCTTATTGTCTCATTTAAACTAGTAGTTTCTTTTCTTTTCTTGTTAGTGGCCAGTGCATTCCCGTGATTGTGTCTAAAGTTTCCACATGGTCAGATATTTTGTGAAATTGTCACGAGTGCTAAATTGCTTTAAGTGGCTCTCCCAACTCATAATTGCAACTCATATCCAGAGAGGTTTTTTTTTTCCAAATCGAATATCGAAGTCAAAAGGATGCAGGATAACTATTTAGTTGCAATCTAAAGGGAAGGGAAATGACACTTCCTTTTGATGTTCAATTATTATGGCCTTTATCATTTACCCAGCCTATATGGCCATTGCCCAATCATCATACATTCTACAGTTGTGCTGACTTTTCAAACACAGTATCCTGAAACTTTGTTACTTAATACAATGCATGAATTGGGTAAAGATATTTAATGTAGGGTAAGAAATATTTTTCTCAGTATGTCTGTATTATTAAGTAAGAGTTGTGAGGCAAGTAAATAGGACATTAGCAAGAAACCAGGATTTATTATGGTTTAATCTGAAAAAAGGAATAGACTTGAACATATCCCTTTTTTCAGATGTTTTGTTTTCATTAAATTGAAAACCTCTTGTATCTTTTCTCATTTTATGTACAGTCACAGTGTGTCTGTGTATAAAGGGATCCCAGCGTCTTTTGTCACAGTTGCCTTACATTCTGTTGCAGTCTTTGTTTGGATTTACCAAATAACACTGCCATTTGATCTGAAACTTAGGATACCTTGATAGACTTCCATGGGCCTGCATAAGAGAAGAAAGTGTGTCTGTGTAGATAAGCCAACTAAGCATCTTAACCAAGTGGTGCAAGATATCTCAAAGGCCACCAGCCTGATTTTTTAGGTGTAAATCTGACATCTTACACCAAAAGTTCTTATTGATTTATGGCTACTGATCATGGTAACTGAAGCCATATTTGGTAGGGCAACTGTATTTTAGCAGAATGATTGTTGGTGTAACAAAGATATCTGTCTTGTGTTAAGTTTCAAAGACAAAATTTAACTCTTTCTATGTACAGACATGTATTGCCATCACCAGCATCTGTATTAATGAAGCCAGAGCTGAAGTGAGAGCCTAAACCAAAGTCGGAGGCATTTTCTTTTTTAAACAATGAGTGGAAAGCAATGTTGCTGTTTTGCTCCATACTTGTGGTGACTACTCATTGCCTCAGGATATTAAAACTTCGGACATTTTATTAAATGGTCATGATATGATTATTCTTTTTTTCTTTCTTTTGTTTTTTTAATGACAATATATCATCCAGATGGTATCTCTGATTTAGCTGAAACTTGCTGGGGTTACTTGCAAAAATTAAACTTTTGGCTGTCATTTTTTTAGTATTTTTTAAATGCAGGTCAAGTTTGAAAGTAGATTTGATCAGATTATTCTTGAAAAAAAAATTCTCATCCTGAAAGTTTTTTTTCTTTTTTTTTTTAAATGATATTGGCATTGGTTGTATATTACAGTTCTTTTACCAAAGCATAAATATTGATATCTCTTTACCTTCAAACTTTTTAGTGTAAAATGCAAGGCATAATTACAGGTGTAGTTATCCAATCTACAATTCTTCCTTAATATTTAAAGTGAGAAAGGTTTTCTGTGTATTTGTCAGTTTTAGATGCCTTGTAAAATGCAACCCTGATGAGGGTCCATTGCCATCATGCTTTCTATCAAGTCTGTCTTAGCATTAACGGTCCTTTATTGGGCACACTTTGGTTCATTCTTCATACTATACTGTTACGCCTTCCTGGCCGAGTGCTTTTATGAAGGTACAAAAAACACAATACTCACTGGTGTAAGTCACTAATTCAAGACCCAAAGGACCAACAGGGAGCTGTAAGAGTCAAAGAAGACCAAAAAGTGCTAAGAGAAGCCATAAGAGACCCCAAAGAGACAGGTTTATTTCAAGTCACACCTTATATACATGTTCAGATAGTACACATGTACATATCAGAACCAATTATACAACGAACAGTTTTACCTTTAAGTTACCAATCACAGGAGAGATTCAGACTTGCACGCCGGACTATACTTTACTTATAGAGACATCTACCAGTAGCAATATAAAACAATCTCAGCTAACACAATACATCGTCACAATACTTCTATATGAATTTTTCACTGATGAGCCAGTTTGAACTTAAAAATCTAGCATGAAATAGTCTTGCCTGATGGATATATGTGCAGAATTTTTTATAACTGTCTGTACATATGCCAGCTCTGCTGTCTGTTTTTAAAATTATTTTGGCAGATAAAGAATGGGCATTATACATAAGTTGTTTTGTTTAAAAGTAGATTAACACATTACAATATTGCTCTAAAAATAGAGAACAGAAGGTCAATACTTTCATTACAGTTGTATTTTCTTTAATCAGTACAATATATCTGCCATGCAATATGATTTCATAAATTGTTAAATGTTTGATTAAGTAGTAATTTTTGCCCTCAGTCTGTACAGATATATGTATATACATATATATATTTTTTAACACCGAGACAACGTAATGCAGGCTCTCTTCCCTCAGCACTTGCATTTCTATTTTCTTTTCAATAAGCTAAAATTTAGGAATTTTTTGTTATTTTGTAACCTTTATGATGGCTGTTTATTTTCCAGCTTTACTGTCTAGTTCTGCAATATTTTTAATCAGAATTGCTCAGACCTTATTTAGCTCATTTGTTTCTTTAAATAGTTTTCTGTTATAGAAAGTAGGTATAAGTGGACAGTACATATCCACCTGCATGTGTCTGATAGACAAATAGGCGTGTAAAGGATGTTGCAAGTCTTGTTTATAGTCATACTCCTTTTCTTTGTCTTATATCCTTATTAAATTTGTGAAGGCTCTTTTTTTCTACTGAAAAATATGTATGTGGAATTATTTTATCATTGTAAAGCTTGGTTCAGATCATATTGGTTTATATTTTTATTCAGTTTTTAAAACCCTATTTGTATTATGTAAGCAAGAAAAATCCATTCATAACCAAATACCCGTATACAGGATTTGTATTGGAATAGGTAACAGGTAGTTTTGCATCCATGTTAGTGTTTTTATGACTTTATTTTTTGTTTTGATATTTATGCATGCTACTACATACTTGTATTTACTGTATAGTGCTATTAACAGGATATTGTATTCTTATAAACTAGTGAAACCTTTTTATTTGTAAATGACATATTAACAATACCTTATGGAATTCTTTTACAGGAGATATTGTTTACTATCAGTATCTTCTTTACACAGAAAATATAATGTTCAATATTGATTTAAAAGGCTGAAGATATAAATTTGAAGGTAGCCATATGTTTATTGTCAGTATAGTTGTCTTCAGATTTGAAGGCCTTAATTACTGCATGGTTTTAGAATATATGTATATGTTAAGTTACATATTAGGTTTTGGTGGGCTATTTGGATTGAAGGTTTAGTTTTGAAGTTTTGCATATATATTTTAGTAAATTTGAAGTTGATTTTTGAAATTAATTCAATATGGATACTGTTTATAATGGTCATGTGATTTCTTTTCTTTCTTTTTAACATAGGCAATGGGTTCTATACACTTTGGTAAAAAATACAAGGTACAAATCACACAATTCAGACAAGCATTTTATACTTTAGGATTTCATAAGACTCCCCATTCTTTGATCACATTTCAGCTGAATCCCACAGCCTGACTTTTTGGGAAAATAAGAAAATGATTTTCCTTGAATCTGAATAATGCATCATAAAGATTCTCTGTATTGTTTTTGTTAACCTTTACACGTTATCTGTTTATATGTAGTCTAAGGAGGGTTGTTTGGTCTATTAATCTAGGCCCCAGCAGGGGAGAACCAGCCTAGCACAGCAGTTGACTTGTTTGTGTCCACAGAGAAAATTATGGTGCTTAATACGGATCTTAAGGTAAGTTTTTTTTTTTCTAATACCTGTGGTTGATTTCTAAGATGAATAATATGATCATAATTCTACAATAATAATAATAATAATAATAATAATAATAATAATAAGTGTTAAAGTAACATTAGAAAAAAACATTGTGAGGATATCTTGCATTAAGACTACACTGCCAATAAGTCTGTCAAGGACCAGATAGGTAGAGTATATTCTATGTACATAAAATATTTTGAATAACTTTTATTTACTTAAGGAAATCATGATGGACCATGCTCTCCGTACCATATCCTACATTGCTGACATAGATGACATTGTGGTCATCATGGCCCGTAGGCGCCTTATTACAAGTCCTGGGGATGAACTGTTACGCAAAAAGAAACAAGCCAAAATTCTGTGCCATGTGTTTCATTCAGATGAGGTAAGTTGGCATGGTTTTGATGTAAATTATGTGATAATTCTGTGTGGACCAAAATTTTATTTGTCCATCTCTCCAGAGAATACTAGTTTTTCTGTATTTATTTATTTATTTATTTATTTATTTATTTATTTTGATAGTCTTTTTATCTTAAACCAATTTTTTTGTAGTTTTGTTGTTGTTGTTGTATTGCCGTGAAAGATTAAAATTTATTGCAGAGCAGTGTAGATAGTGCAGTGGTATGCTGAAGTTCAATGAGAAATAATATGCACAGCAGATATGTAGGGCAATGTTATACATAGTAATTGGATAAATTTTGTATGTCTCCAGATTATCCAGATTATCCTGATGTCCATATTTGAACATGCCATCATGCCTACATCTAGTTTTGCTTGTATATGTTGGTGCTAATTATCTCCTGTTGATTGACAGTGCATCTTTTCATTAAACAAAATTCAAAGACGGCATCAGTATAAATCCTCCTAAGGGAACATAATCCTAGCACTTTAAGTAAAGATAATTTGACAACAAGAGAGTTGAAATATCATCTGGGTGAGGTGGCTTTAGACAGCTAATATGATACATGCATTTGTATAAGACAAACCTTCTTTATATGGGTTAGAGGTTTATTATCAGATAATTATATACTATATTTTTGGATAAAAATTTTTACCCATGGTTTACTTACATTAATTGATTGTGGCAAGTTGTATTCCATACAGAAAAGCTATTCAGTATGAAAGCCAGAGAAAGCTAAAAAGATAAACTGTTCCAGGCCCAGCTTATTGCCCAGTCCATTGGTCAAGCCTTCCAGGTGGCTTACTTGGAATTCCTGAAGGCCAATGGTATTGATGACCCAGGCCTCCTGAAGGAGATGGACTACCAAGATGTCCTGAACCAGCAAGAAATATATGGAGAGGAACTAGCCATGTTTACTAATAGAGACAAACAGAAGGAGGTAAGTGTTTTGAAGGGCAAATTGTTTGGTAATTGAATCAGCACAGTAATTGTGTTTTTGTTTGTTGTTTGGATGAAAACATAAATTCCTTGTAACTCTAATTTGTTTTTATGTACAGACACAGATGTGTCTGTACATATAGCCGTCATCTGCGTCTGTCGTCGTCGCCGTCGTCGCCGTCGTCGTCGCCGTGCACTTTTACCGATAACACGATAAGTGGAAAACTATTTTACCTTTTGGCTTGAAACTTACAGAACTGATGAATATTCATAATACGCAGGTCAAGTTCGAAAATCAGCATGATCGGGTCACTTATAGGGAATTTATGCTGTTTTTTCACTTTTTTCAGCATATATGCATCACCGATAACACGATAAGTGGAAAGCCATTTTACCTTTTGGCTTGAAACTTACACAACTGATGAATATACATAATATGCAGGTCAAGTTCGAAAATCAGCGTGATTGGGTCATTTTTAGTGAATTTAGGCGATTTTTTTCTCTTTTTTCAGCATATATGCAGCACCGATAACACGATAAGTGGAAAACCATTTTACTTTTTGGCTTGAAACTTACAAAACTGATGAATATTCATAATACGCAGGTCAAGTTCGAAAATCAGCATGATCGGGTCACTTTTAGGGAATTTATGCTGTTTTTTCACTTTTTTCAGCATATATGCAACCCCGATAACACGATAAGTGGAAAACCATCCTACCTTTTGGCTTGAAACTTACAAAACTGATTAATATTCATAATACACAGGTCAAGTTCGAAAATCAGCATGATTGGGTCATTTTTAGGGAATTTATGCTGTTTTTTCACTATTTTTCAGCATATATGCAGCACCGATAACACCATAAGTGGAAAACCAATTTACCTTTTGGCTTGAAACTTGTAGAACTGATAAATATTCATAATACGCAAGTCAAGTTCGAAAATCAGCATGATTCGATTATTGTTAGGGAATTTATGCTGTTTTTTCACTTTTTTCAGCATATATGCAGCACTGATAACACAATAAGTGGAAAACTGTTTTTTCATTTGGCTTGAAACTTACAGAACTAATGAATATTCATAATACGCAGGTCAAGTTTGAAAATCAGCAAGATCGGGCAATTTTTATGGAAGTATTCTTTTTTTTTTTTTTTTTTTTCAATTTTTTCAGCACTTTTATAACACCGATAACATGATAAGTGTAAAAATGTTTTTCCTTTCCTTGGATTGAAATTTACAGAACTGGTGAATATTTATTATACGCAGGTCAAGTTTGAAAATTGGCATGATTGGACTATTTTTACAAAAGTAATGCTGTTTTTTTCCCTTTATTCAGCATACATGCAACACTGATAACGCATTTTAAGGAAAACCAATCAGCCTTTTGTCTTGCAACTCACAGGAGTGATCAATCTGACCAGTATACAGATCAAGTTTGAAAATAAGCTTGATCAGTTAAGTTTTGATGAAGTTATTAGCCTTTTTGTATATAAGTGGTTTTTCTTCAGATTTAATTCTTAAGCATGTTAACAGTCTCATAACGGTACTAATTGGATATGTTAAAGTGTTGTTTTAACATTTTCTGCTTCTTAACAATATTGTTAGTTGATTATATAAAAATGACGGTAAACCTATTATCCTGCATTGTGTAATAAAGTATCAAAAATGGAAAGGAACTCATCATTGCAGTTCGTCAGATTCAATCATTCACTATGTTCAGAATCTCCAAATGGAGCTAATTGGACATTATAAATTGTTCTATTGATATTTTTCCTATGTCAACAATTTTCCTAGTTGATCATTTAAAAATGACAGTTAATTGATGATGGTTTTATGTAAAAAAGGTGTTGAAAATGGAAAGAAAATCATTTCAGTACAGTTATCTCTTGTTAACATTTTGGCATTTTGAAAGTGTGACCCTAACTTCCATGTCCTTGGAGACCTTTCCATATCACATTTTCTGAATATCCATGATACTTTTATTTTTTTATAAAAAATTTGATGGTCATTATGCTGTTAAGTATTATGTTATATTGCATGAAAGTTAAAGAAAACCCTATTTTGGACACTGCTGCCAGGATAGCGATTAAGGGAAAACCATGTTACTTATGATAATCAACCTTACTGAAAAGAGTGAAGTGCAGCTTGTGTTGGAAAACCATCGTAATTGTTTTCTGTTTTGAAAGCAATGCAGTACAGTGCTATTTGGTGCAATAAATGTATATGGATAGTAGGCAGTTAATTCAGGGTTATAAAATAATTTGCTTAATTGATTTTCAAGTTATTTCAGGGTTATAAAATAATTTGCTTAATTAATTTTCAAGTGGGTATTAAATGAGATTACATAAACACACATTGAGATTTCATTGTAAAGTCCCATCGGTTTAGCTTTCTTAACTGTGTCACATAATTAGGAATCGATGATTATTATGCAGGTAAATGTTATTTAATATGGAAAATAAGTTTACAAAAAAAAATTTGTGTAACGCTTACATTAATGCTAAAGATGAATAACAGTGCCTTATTATTCTCAAACTCAATAGGGTTATTCATATCATGTTAGTAATTGTACAGCTAGATTAAAAGTTTGAATAGCAGCTTTATTGGTATTTTTTGTTATGTTTTATTTTACATTTTCTTTTAATTTTTTTATGCTGTTTTTTCACTTTTTTCAACATATATGCAACATTAATAACACAATATAAGAAAAACAGCTTAGCCAATTGTCATTATACTCACAGGAGTGGTCAATCTTACAAAAATGCAGGTTGAGTTCGAAAATCAGTGTTATCGGGCCATTATTTTAGAAGTTGTACTGTTTTTTCAAATTTCCTCAGATTCAATTCTTAGGCATGTTAACAGTCTCATTATTGAACTAATAAGATACGTAAAAGTGTGTGTTTGATATTTCCTGCATCTTTACAACATTGTTAGTTGATTATGTAAAAATGATGGTAAACTTGTTATCATGTATTGTGTAATCAAGTGTCCAAAACGGAAATAAACTCATATCATTGCAGTTTGTCAGATTCAATCATCCACATCTGCCATGATGACCATGATGGGAAAACCGTGTTACTTATGATTGTCAAACTTTCAAAAAAGAAACACAGGACTAAAATGCAGCCCAAGTTGGAAAAGCAGTCTAATGGGCTTCTTTTTCTGGAAGTTATACATTTTAGTGAAATATTCATTATCTTTTTGGCATATTCATTGTGGGACTCGGAGCTCCCATGGACATGAAGCCGGATGGTAATCAAATTTTCTACATGTTCATGCTATTTATAGTCAATAATCAAAAATTGGTGATAATTATTCTATAATTTATTATGTAATGTTACATCAAAATTGACAATAATCTTTTTGCACTGCTACTGCAAACATTATGAAAAGAAAACTGTGTTATTTATTATTATATTTAACTTAAGAGTATGATTTTTAGGATTGGCATGCAGTTCAAATTAGAAAGCCAGGTCAATTGGGTTATCATTTATTATTGAATTTAATGCAATTTTGTGTGAAATTTCATTTTTCTCATTCTGGCACTTTCTAAGTATAAACTTGAACTCTGATGGGCCTGAAGCCTTATGCTTTTACTTTCGTCGGTGTTACCTGTTGTGCAAAATTAAAATTTGATGTTGACTGTGCAGTTAAACATAATGTATTATTGCATCAGAAGTGGTAGTCTCCTATTTTGTGCATTATTGTTTTGTGCTCTTCTTAAGTTGTGACTTATGGGCCTGAAAGACCTTTGAGAGGGTCAGTCTATAAATTTCCCTTGGGTATCACTTCGCTAATTTCAGTTATAAAGTAATTTGCCTAATTGATAGGCTACATAAAGCACACTTGTGATTTGAGATTACATAAAGCACACTTGTTGATATTTCCCTGTAAACTCCCATAGGTTAAGCTCTCTGCTAGATTAATAATAAGGAAGCAGTGATAATTATGCAGGTAAATTTTGTTTAATATTGCAAATAAGTTTTTAATATATATATATATATATATATATATATATATATATATATATATATATATATATATATATATCAAACTGAAAGATTAAAAGTTTGAATAGCAGCTTCATTGGAATTATATTTACCTCTGCCAAGGAGGTTATATTTTCACCCCTGTTTGTCATCAACATAACTCAAAAAGTTATGGACCGATTTTGCTGAAATTTTCAGGAACTGTCAGAAGTGGGCCAAAGAGGACAAAAATCAATAATAATCAACAATTGCTACCTTGGCAGAGGTCTGCACTCTCGGAGTGCTTTTCTAGTTTTGTTATGTTTTCCTTTATAATTTTTTCTCAAACACTTGCATTTGTGACTTTTAACTCTCATCCGCCTGAGACTCTGACATTTCTGTATTTCCACATAAGCAGTTGTATTGTTTTTTATGTCTTTAAACATTATGTTACTTATGTAATATTATTTTATGCACTGTCATCATTTTTCAAATATTGAGACTTTCATCATGTGACTTTGGTCTCTCATGATCCTGAAACTGTAATCTTATTGAAAGGGTAGATTGAGACCATCTTCTGGGACTTCCGGAAGACAGTCAGGTTATTAAGTTTATATTGCCTGGTATCTATTTTTTCTTCTGTTGGAAGACCATCAAAATGAAGGATGGATCAAAATAGATACTTTGGAATACTGTCAGAGAATATCTCTGGGTCCGCTCATGTTATTGACCATTTTACCTGTTGTGCATGATTAAAATTCGGTGTTGACTGATAGTGCTATTATAAGCATTATTTATTATTGCATCAAAATTGACAAAATGACCTTTTTTGCATCTTTATTTTCTGTTTTTTGTCTGTACATTTGACAGCTTTGCTGCCTTGTTTAATTCTCTCCCTGTCTTTCTCTTAACTCTCCAGAACACTGTAAATCTCATCAGGGTCACATTTTACAAGGCATCTAAAACTGACAAATGTACAAAAAACCTTTATCACTTTAAATATTAAGGAAGAATTGTAGATTGGATAACTACACCTGTAATTATGCCTTGCATTTTACACTAAGAAGTTTGAAGGCAAAGAGATATCAATATTTATGCTTTGGTAAAAGAACTGTTATATACAACCAATGCCAATATCATTTAAAAAAAAAAGAAGAAAAAAAAACTTTCAGGCTGAGATTTTTTTTTCAAGAATAATCTGATCAAATCTACTTTCAAACTTGACCTGCATTTAAAAAATACTAAAAAAAATGACAACAAAAAGTTTAAGTTTTGCAAGTAACCCCTGCAAGTTTCAGCTAAATAAGAGATGCCATCTGGATGACATATTGTCAACAAGGCCGAAATTTAAAAAAATCAAGAAAGAAAGAGAAAAGAATAATCATATCATGAACAATAAAATGTCCTAAATTTTAATATTCTGAGGCAATGAGTAGTCACCACAAGTATGAAACAAAACAGCAACATCTTTCCATTCATTGTTTAAGAAAAGAAAATGTCTCTGACTTTGGTTTCGGGTCTCACTTCAGCTCCGACTTCAGCAACACAGATGCTGGTGATGTGAATACATACAAACACTACTCCTAGTTTCGATGCGACAGGTCACTGGACGATGTCGTATTTCGATATAATCGATGTAAATGGATTTTCCGCCAGGACAATTATTTTTTCCCCATCGAAAAGATCGAAGAATTACCGTATATAATATATCTTAATAATATTTTGTCACACAGTGTAAGATTTGGTGCTGCATACACTTTACTTTGTTACTTAACAGTACATAGTTAATTACTTACCTCAGCAGTATACAAGTGGATTCTTGATAACATTAAATCTCTTTGTGTTATATAAATATATAACTGATAAAACATAAATAAATGAATAATTTTTTCATTTCTGTGATCTGTAATGTTTTAGGTCATTGTTCCCAAACTGAAGAGTGAAATCCTGGGTATAGTGATAGTGGAGTCAGGCTGGGGATCTATGGTGCCCACCGTGGTGATAGCCAACATGGCTGCCAACGGCCCTGCAGCCAGATGTGGACAACTTAATATTGGAGATCAGATCATATCCATTAATGGTGTCAGCTTAGTGGGATTACCTTTGTCATCTTGTCAGAATTATATTAAGGTAAGTCTCATATCGCGGTCAGTTTTTCATATTTTGCCAACTATTAATCATTCTTTCAGTTTTTCTTTTTGGTCAGCTATTTTTGTCTCGTTTTATACTTTTGCTCATAGAATCCATAACTTTTGTTTAAATTTTTGTATGTTGATTAGGCAATGTTGATATCAGAAACCAGTGAAACTTTTTCACCTTATTTTGCAATATACAAACTAAAAGCTACAACCACAGTATAATTACTAGATTATCGATCTCATCTTAAAATTTCAGGCATTAAAATCACAGACAGTGGTCAAGCTGACCGTAGTGTCCTGCCCACCAGTGGTGGAAGTGAGAATCAAAAGACCTGATGTCAAGTACCAGCTGGGGTTCAGTGTCCAAAATGGAGTTGTAAGTTGAAAGACATCCAATACCATGAATAACAAGATGATATAAATCAGTTACAAAACAACATGATGAATAATAAATTTAAATGCTTCAGTGCCCTAGTTTGTAATCAGGATAGCTGTACCTCTTTTTTGGCAGAACATAAAGATCATGGTTGAAGTACTTATCCTCTCCCTCTTCCACCCAAACGCCATACATTTGTCTGTTTCCTCTGACTTAAACTATGTGCATTTTTCTCCTCTACACAAATAGATCTGCAGTTTGCTCCGGGGTGGCATAGCTGAGCGGGGAGGAGTTCGAGTTGGCCATCGTATCATAGAAATCAATGGAGAGAGTGTGGTAGCTGTGCCACATGAGAAGATTGTCACCCTGCTGGCAAATGCTATAGGAGAGGTAGGCAAACCTTTTCTTTTTATGGACAGATGCTGTGTGTAATCATGTAATTGTCACCTTTTTATGTTAGTTTTTGATGGTGGTTTAAATTTTGAAGCTTCAGTTTTCTTAATTGTAAATATTGAAAGGGTAATTTCTCAAAATGTTGAAGGATGCTTTATGATAATAATCAAGAGCATGTATATTTTGCTCAATTATCTAAAAGCTGTTATAACTACAGGCTTGTCATCTTGGGTCATACCAATTATGTAAGTGCTTTATATTTTTATTGAACTAACAACATAAAAAATGACTTCATATTAAAGGGATAATAACTCTTCGTTTCGTCCAAAAAATGAATTTTCCTGGAGTAAACAACAATTTTCCCATACTTACCAATGGTTAATGAATCCATTTTTACATTCAAAGTTAGTCCCTGGTTTTTTTCTAAAAAGTTTGGTTTTTTGTTAAAATCTCTTAAGAGATTTTAACAGAGTATAGCCTTCAATGGAGGTCACGTGGTCTAAAGACAAGCTCGGATATCAGAATAAGAGCTATAACTGCCGTTTTTGTGGTAAAAAAGAATATATTATATTTCTGTGAGTTCTTCACAATGTTTTTATTGTGAAATATAGATCTCATATGAAGAGTTATTATCCCTTTAAATATGATTGTGGTGTAAAGATGTATAATATCCTCATTTCAGCTTCACATGAAAACCATGCCAACAGCAATCTATAGATTGCTTACTGGACAAGAAATCCCTCACTACATATGAGCTTAGTGCAAAGCCTGAATGACAAGGCAGCATCACATTGGGACATACTGTGTAATAGGAAGAATAGTTCAACGGATGTGAACTCGTGTTGTAAAACAGGGCCATTGCTGTGTTCTTAAGGTGTACTCAACAGGGACGCTTTGTACAAGTTGTGAGAGAGCCATAGGTGCTCTTAAATGATTTATCCATAGAGATAAACATGTATATATCACCACATTGAGAATATAGTATTCTTGCCACCCAGTTTTATATCTACGCTAATGAAGCTGACAGTACAGCACCTTTTCTTAATGGGCCTGGACTGCCTTGCCAGAATGTGTTCAATCACCGTCTGCAATCACATTGCCTTTATCCACTGCAGTGCATGAAGCAGTAAGGCTCCTTGAACTACAAGCAGACCGTACTTCAACTCCTAAATGCCAAGGACTAAGTGAAGAGACAGAAGGGTCCATTTTTACCCCCAGCCCCCTTCCACCAACTTAAGAGCGGAGAACTGTACTCCCTAAGTATATTGTTGAATCATCTACCTTGTCATATTTACAATAGCTCATGCTATACAAGTGTTTGTTGTTTATTCAGTGACAGTTAAGGACAATAACTGGACCTGAAAAGAATATTTTACCTGCTTTTTAGCACCATACTGTAATAGCCGTCTCATTCATGACTTACCCAAGGCAGAGGTGAACTCCAGTACTTCGGTAGAGCTTGGCAGAAAATTTGGTAGTCACAGGGTAGAACTCTGCATGGAGAAGGAATTTCCAAGATCACACATGAACTCATTCCGACTAGAATCTGGTGAAACAGATTAAAAGTGGCCTGTACACTTACATATGGAGAAAAGCTGAAAAAATTGCTTACAATCATTGCTTCCATAATACTTGTAGTTATATGGATTCATTTTATTCAGTGTATTGGTGCTGAAAGATGATACATGTGGCAAAGCTGAAATTATTAAAGTAAGAAATATATGCTCTCTAAATTGTAACATGTAGTAATTATGTTGGTCTTTGTATTCACTTCAGTATACTACTTCAAAAAAGGTGAAGAGTAGTACATGAGAATGTATTTTAGGTTAAATGTCTGAGAAAAGGAAAGATGGATGTTTAGGTATTTATTGCTTTTTTATGAAGCCTCAAGAATTTGATATTCTTTAAAAAAAGGTTTGTACACAAAGTAAAGAAGGCTTTTGAGTCTTTACTGACTTTTTTGTCAAACACTGTAATGCCAATATGTGGAAAATTAGTTTAAATTTGTACCTTTTCGGAGACAAGGTAAACTTTTAAGGTACTTTTCATAATATTATAAGTAAGAAGAAATTGAAATCATTTAAGGTAAATGATGTGTATTAACAAATTTACTTTGTTCCAACCAGTATTGATATGTGGTCTTAACAATTTATGGAGTAGTATGCCCTATGGAGATGTTGTAGTTATGTTATTGCTGTTGTTAGTGGCATATGTGCATTTCCCAAATATATCTCTGATTACCCATCATTTTCTTTGATATAGTGAATGTTACATTGTTCTTTTTGGGCTTACTGTGGCCCTGTTTAAATTAATTTCATGATAAATAAAATTTAATTAATACATGATGTTGAGAGTTGTAATGTTAAACAGATCCAAAAACCAGTGTTGTGAAAGAATTGAGCACATCAGATATGGACATGCCTTTAATTTGTGAACCTTCCATGTTAATCCAAAACACTACCTCTTTATTATAGCGAAGTTTCAGTTTGAGGGCTGGGGTGACTTTCAAAATCAGGATGGGTGTATGCACATATTAAGAATAATATTATTTGCCAAAAAGAAAAAAAAATAGTTAAAAGTTACTGTAGTAAAGACAAAAACAATGATATCGAAAGTAAAATATTGGATATGGTTAAAAGAAATAATATAAAAGAAGTACTTTCTTTTTCAAATCTAAATATCTCTTTCCAGTATGTTAAAATAGTCTTTTTGTTGCACAGTGTATGCACTTGAATGTTTTTCGCAGTGGCTCGGTTATGTCTACATCTAGAATACGTTTAAAAAATGAAGCTAAACACGTGAATTCTTGCAGTTCCATATCCCTGACGTTGGCCCTAAGAATATTGTTAGCCTTGACAAAAACTCCTCATTTACTACCTTACACACATTCTTTTCGATAATAGATAAATCTTCAGCATTCATTGACTAAATTAATCAACATTTTAACATAAGTAACATGTCATTAATGTGATTTTGTAGTAAAAATGGTAAAAATCCGTTTCTCAAATTTATCCTTTACCTGAGGGGGGCGTCTCGATAGTCCGAAGGTTCATTGGTCCGAAGGTTCATTGGTCCGAAAAGTGGTAACATTTTTATCGATTTTTTAATCAAGGGTTCATTGGTCCGAAGGTTAATTCTATAGTGAACATTCGGACCAATGAACCTTCGAACTATTGAACCTTCGGACTATCGCTACGGCCCCTACCTGAGCACCACGGACAACTTTTTAACGCCATTTTAATGACACCATTTAGTACTCCAAAACCCTGCCAGCGATTTTTCTTAAAAGCTATAGTTCAGACATTTATCGTTGTTTAAGCAAAATAATACTTTTGTTTAATGAAAAACGTTAATGGTAAGGGTTCATAACTTCTAAGGAAAACATTTAAACCAAAATGACGGCACGGGATTGTAACCCATACACTCGTGGTCAACCATTTCAGTTTTCACGATAAAATCTTGTTCAGGGAAAGCCCCATAGCGATTGCTATCTCACCTCAAAAGAGAAAGGTGTTGAATTGACGATTACTACATGTACAGCATTGAGTTGCCTACGCTTATACTGGGAGTACAATGTAACGAGAAATATAAACGTCGATGTTTTATATTTTCGAGGGGATTTTTATTGTTTAAAATCAGCACAAAGATCGATGCGTTATTGAATAATAAGATGCAGGGAAACCCTCATTTCGGTATCTGGATGACATTAAAGGCTTAATGAGGGGCCGAAGGGCTATTCAGGTCAAGGTCACCACAGCAAGGTCAAGATGGACACCTCTACTGAGGAAGGTATTTATCGGGATAATTGTCCGTTTTCTTTGCGATGTACAAGCTATACACACTCAATCTTTTTGCAGTCTGTGAACGAGCAACATTTGCTTAATGCAGGCATAACGTGACTGCTGATGATGGGGTAGTTGAATAAACTGAAAGTGTTGACTAAAAATGTTATGTCATGGTTCATCAATGTAGTACAATGTACCAGCATGTAAACGGTGTTGAACGTCTTGGTTGTAGTACTTCCTGCACGTGCCTAATACTCCACGTACGTTGTTAAGTTATTGATGATTATAGTTTTGTTATTGTGTCTGTCTAGATTGCAACCGCGGTGAATTTTTTCTTGTTAAAATGCACACAAAATTCACGTAATCGCTTCAACCACTCAGTCGTGTTGATCGTAGGCACAAGTACATGTAGGTGCTTGACGTCACTCGCAATAGACTCACATGTATTATGAAATGTCATGTATGAAATTTATCACAAAGGCGCTTCCAATCTTTCTTTAGATTTTTTTTGTTGTATTGCTGCTGTGTGTGTTGTTATGTATGTAACACTACAAGTACAGTAGTTAAACACACTATTACTTTGAAGGCAAAGTGTGCCTTCAGTCTTCTGGATAATATATAATATATATATCCTTTACTAGTATTGTATCAGTAATGCCTTTGCAGAGCATTGTGTTTTGTAGAGTTTATTTACTGTTAATTCTTGAAACCTCAGGATGGAGATATGAGGCCATGCTCCATTTTGTACCAGGTATACTGAGCATGACATTGCAAGGGGGAAAGTACCAGTAGGGGGTGAATTTGAAACCTTTTGCTGATGTTAATTCAGTCTTTGGGCTTGATTCATTTTCCAAATGAGTGGTTTTAACAAAGATAACATACTAGTATTATCGTGGTAGGAATTCAACGACATGCTTTTAGTAAAAGATGGGTGTCTGCTAAAATACTGGTATGCTGGCTTGTTAAAGCTAATTGATATATTGTCAGTTGACATGATGATTGATGATGTTACATGATTTGTTTCATAGTACTGAGTTGCTGTTGGGAGGTAACCTGTATGTTCTAATTTTCATAGGATAATAATGGCAGCATTTTTTAGTTGTAGGAATCCCTGATGCTAATATCCAGAAATATAGAGAGAAATTTGAGTCAGATCCGAAGAACCTATTGGCACAAAACGTTTGCACTAGACATGATCCTTTTGAAGCTGCTCTGAAGCGAAACAAACTTACTGAACTGAGCAATGTGTTTAGTCATAAGGTATGTATGAGTTACACGTCCTATAAACACACTGATATTGATTTAAAGTAATACGTTTGTTTTGTGCATGACTTTTGAAAATAATAATTATTATACAGATGTTATTCAAAATAATACAGGTAGTCTGACAAATTTAGAGGAGAGAGAAAAAATGTCAATTATATAACAGATATATACAACCATTAACACTTGAAACCTAGTATGAGATAAGAGAACACAATATATTAGTATTCACCAGACCTAAAGGGTTGTTTGTTGACTATTTGGAAATTTAGCAATTTTCAGATAGTGTATACTTTGATGCTAAAGGGCAGATTATTAAAAAATAATGTATTAATCTTAATTTAAATTAATTTTAATATTTAAATATTTGATATCCTTTATATTATATTCCTTTAAGTAGAGGCATGTAATTTGTGTTAGCATTTTCCATCAATCTGTTTACAAGATTTCATTGGAAGGCAAACCTGTGACAAATCAAAAAGCCTCTGGCAGATGTTGGATCTTTGCACTGTTCAACTGCATGAGGGTGCCATTCCTTAAGGAATACAATATAGAAGAGTTTGAATTTAGTCAAACCCACATTTTCTTCTGGGACAAGGTAAGTAACTTTTCNCTAATTATATACTATATTTATGGATAAAAATTTTTACCCATGGTTTACTTACATTAATTGATTGTGGCAAGTTGTATTCCATACAGAAAAGCTATTCAGTATGAAAGCCAGAGAAAGCTAAAAAGATGAACTGTTCCAGGCCCAGCTTATTGCCCAGTCCATTGGTCAAGCCTTCCAGGTGGCTTACTTGGAATTCCTGAAAGCCAATGGTATTGATGACCCAGGCCTCCTGAAGGAGATGGACTACCAAGATGTCCTGAACCAGCAAGAAATATATGGAGAGGAACTAGCCATGTTTACTAATAGAGACAAACAGAAGGAGGTAAGTGTTTTGAAGGGCAAATTGTTTGGTAATTGAATCAGCACAGTAATTGTGTTTTTGTTTGTTGTTTGGATGAAAACATAAATTCCTTGTAACTCTCATTTGTTTCTTAATTCTCTCCCTGTCTTTCTCTTAACTCTCCAGAACACTCTAAATCTCATCAGGGTCACATTTTACAAGGCATCTAAAACTGACAAATGTACAAAAAACCTTTATTACTTTAAATATTAAGGAAGAATTGTAGATTGGATAACTACACCTGTAATTATGCCTTGCATTTTACACTAAGAAGTTTGAAGGTAAAGAGATATCAATATTTATGCTTTGGTAAAAGGACTGTAATATACAACCAATGCCAATATCATTTAAAAAAAAAAGAAGAAAAAAAAAAAAACTTTCAGGCTGAGAATTTTTTTTTCAAGAATAATATGATCAAATCTACTTTCAAACTTGACCTGCATTTAAAAAATACTAAAAAAAAAAAATGACAACAAAAAGTTTTAAGTTTTGCAAGTAACCCCTGCAAGTTTCAGCTAAATAAGAGATGCCATCTGGATGACATATTGTCAACAAGGCCGAAATTTAAAAAAATCAAGAAAGAAAGAGAAAAGAATAATCATATCATGAACAATAAAATGTCCTAAATTTTAATATTCTGAGGCAATGAGTAGTCACCACAAGTATGAAGCAAAACAGCAACATCTTTCAATTCATTGTTTAAGAAAAGAAAATGTCTCTGACTGGTTTCGGGTCTCACTTCAGCTCCGACTTCAGCAACACAGATGCTGGTGATGTGAATACATACAAACACTACTCCTAGTTTCGATGCGACAGGTCACTGGACGATGTCGTATTTCGATATAATCGATATAAATGGATTTTCCGCCAGGACAATTATTTTTTCCCCATCGAAAAGATCGAAGAATTACCGTATATAATATATCTTAATAATATTTTGTCACACAGTGTAAGATTTGGTGCTGCATACACTTTATTTAGTTACTTAACAGTACATAGTTAATTACTTACCTCAGCAGTATACAAGTGGCAAAGTAATACAAGGATTCTTGATGACATCAAATCTCTTTGTGTTATATAAATATATAACTGATAAAACATAAGTAAATAATTTTTTCATTTCTGTGCTATGTTTTAGGTCATTGTTCCAAAACTGAAGAGTGAAATCCTGGGTATAGTGATAGTGGAGTCAGGCTGGGGATCTATGGTGCCCACCGTGGTGATAGCCAACATGGCTGCCAACGGCCCTGCAGCCAGATGTGGACAACTTAATATTGGAGACCAGATCATATCCATCAATGGTGTCAGCTTAGTGGGATTACCTTTGTCATCTTGTCAGAATTATATTAAGGTAAGTCTTGTATCACAGTCAGTTTTTCATTCTTTGCCAACTATTACTCAATCTATCAGTTTTTCTATTTGACCAGCTATTTTTGTCGTTTTATATTGTCGCTCATATAATCCACTACTTTTGTTTAAGATTTTGCTGTATGTAAGTAGGACAGGTGTTGACATCATAAGCCAGTGAAACTTTTGCACCTTATTTGAAATAAACTAAAAGCTACAACTTCAGTATACTAGATTATCAATCTCATCTTAACATTACAGGCATTAAAATCACAGACAGTGGTCAAACTGACTGTAGTATCCTGTCCACCAGTGGTGGAAGTGAGAATTAAAAGACCTGATGTCAAGTACCAGCTGGGGTTCAGTGTCCAAAATGGAGTTGTAAGTTGAAAGACATCCAATATCATGAATAGCAAGCTGATATAAATCAGTAACAGATCAATATTATTGTGAATAATAAATTAAAATGCTTCAGTGGCCAATTTGGTGGTCAGGAGAGCTGTGCCTCTTTTTGGCAGAACATAAAGATCATGGTTGAAGCACTTATCCTCTCCCTCCTCCTCTTCCACCCAAACACCATACATTTGTCTGTTTCCTCTGACTTAAACTATACATGTATGTGTTTTTCTCCTCTACACAAATAGATCTGCAGTTTGCTCCGGGGTGGCATAGCTGAGCGGGGAGGAGTTCGAGTTGGCCATCGTATCATAGAAATCAATGGAGAGAGTGTGGTAGCTGTGCCACATGAGAAGATTGTCACTCTGCTGGCAAATGCTATAGGAGAGGTAGGCAAACCTTTTCTTTTTATGGACAGATGCTGTATGTAATCATGTAGTCGTCACCTTTTTAGGTTAGTTTTTGATGGTGGTTTAAATTTGAAGCTGCAGTTTTTTAATTGTAAATATTGGAAGGGTACTTTTTCAAAATGTTGAAGGATACTTTATGATAATAATCATATTTCACTCAATTATCTAAAAGCTGTTCTAACTACAGGCTTGTCATCTTGGGCCATACCAATTATGTAAGTGCTTTATATTTTTATTGAGCTAACTACATATAAAATCACTTCTTATTAAATATGCTTTAATTTCCTCATTTCAGCTTCACATGAAAACCATGCCAACAGCAATCTATAGATTGCTTACTGGACAAGAAATCCCTCACTACATATGAGCTTAGTGCAAAGCCTGAAAGACAAGGCAGCATCACATTGGGACATACTGTGTAATAGGAAGAATAGTTCAACGGATGTGAACTCGTGTTGTAAAACAGGGCCATTGCTGTGTTCTTATGGTGTACTCAACGGGGACGCTTTGTACAAGTTGTGAGAGAGCCATAGGTGCTCTTAAATGATTTATCCATAGAGATAAACATGTATATATCACCACATTGAGAATATAGTATTCTTGCCACCCAGTTTTATATCTACGCTAATGAAGCTGACAGTACAGCACCTTTTCTTAATGGGCCTGGACTGCCTTGCCAGAATGTGTTCAATCACCGTCTGCAATCACATTGCCTTTATCCACTGCAGTGCATGAAGCAGTAAGGCTCCTTGAACTACAATCAGACCCTACTTCAACTCCTAAATGCCAAGGACTAAGTGAAGAGACTGAAGGGTCCATTTTTCCCCCCAGCCCCCTACCACCAACTTAAGAGCGGAGAACTGTACTCCCTAAGTATATTGTTGAATCATCTACCTTGTCATATTTACAATAGCTCATGCTATACAAGTGTTTGTTGTTTATTCAGTGACAGTTAACGACAATAACTGGACCTGAAAAGAATATTTTACCTGCTTTTTAGCACCATACTGTAATAGCCGTCTCATTCATGACTTACCCAAGGCAGAGGTGAACTCCAGTACTTCGGTAGAGCTTGGCAGAAAATTTGGTAGTCACAGGGTAGAACTCTGCATGGAGAAGGAACTTCCAAGATCACACATGAACTCATTCCGACTAGAATCTGGTGAAACAGATTAAAAGTGGCCTGTGCACTTACATATGGAGAAAAGCTGAAAAAATTGCTTACAATCATTGCTTCCATAATACTTGTAGTTATATGGATTCATTTTATTCAGTGTATTGGTGCTGAAAGATGATACATGTGGCAAAGCTGAAATTATTAAAGTAAGAAATATATGCTCTCTAAATTGTAACATGTAGTAATTATGTTGGTCTTTGTATTCACTTCAGTATACTACATGTACTTCAAAAAAGGTGAAGAGTAGTACATGAGAATGTATTTTAGGTTAAATGTCTGAGAAAAGGAAAGATGGATGTTTAGGTATTTATTGCTTTTTTATGAAGCCTCAAGAATTTAATATTCTTTAAAAAAAGGTTTGTACACAAAGTAAAGAAGGCTTTTGAGTCTTAACTGACTTTTTTGTCAAACATTGTAATGCCAATATGTGGAAAATTAGTTTAAATTTGTACCTTTTCGGAGACAAGGTAAACTTTTAAGGTACTTTTCATAATATTATAAGTAAGAAGAAATTGAAATCATTTAAGGTAAATGATGTGTATTAACAAATTTACTTTGTTCCAACCAGTATTGATATGTGGTCTTAACAATTTATGGAGTAGTATGCCCTATGGAGATGTTGTAGTTATGTTATTGCTGTTGTTAGTGGCATATGTGCATTTCCCAAATATATCTCTGATTACCCATCATTTTCTTTGATATAGTGAATGTTACATTGTTCTTTTTGGGCTTACTGTGGCCCTGTTTAAATTAATTTCATGATAAATAAAATTTAATTAATACATGATGTTGAGAGTTGTAATGTTAAACAGATCCAAAAACCAGTGTTGTGAAAGAATTGAGCACGTCAGATATGGACATGCCTTTAATTTGTGAACCTTCCATGTTAATCCAAAACACTACCTCTTTATTATAGCAAAGTTTCAGTTTGAGGGCTGGGGTGACTTTCAAAATCAGGATGGGTGTATGCACATATTAATATTATTTGCCAAAAAGAAAAAAAATAGTTAAAAGTTACTGTAGTAAAGACAAAAACAATGATATCGAAAGTAAAATATTGGATATGGTTAAAAGAAATAATATAAAAGAAGTACTTTCTTTTTCAAATCTAAATATCTCTTTCCAGTATGTTAAAATAGTCTTTTTGTTGCACAGTGTATGCACTTGAATGTTTTTCGCAGTGGCTCGGTTATGTCTACGTCTAGAATACGTTTAAAAAATGAAGCTAAACACGTGAATTCTTGCAGTTCCATATCCCTGACGTTGGCCCTAAGAATATTGTTAGCCTTGACAAAAACTCCTCATTTACTACCTTACACACATTCTTTTCGATAATAGATAAATCTTCAGCATTCATTGACTAAATTAATCAACATTTTAACATAAGTAACATGTCATTATTGTGATTTTGTAGTAAAAATGGTAAAAATCCGTTTCTCAAATTTATCCTTTACCTGAGCACCACGGACAACTTTTTAACGCCATTTTAATGACACCATTTAGTACTCCAAAACCCTGCCAGCGATTTTTCTAATAAGCTATAGTTCAGATTTTATCGTTGTTTAAGCAAAACAATACTTTTGTTTAATGAAAAACGTTAATGATAAGGGTTCATAACTTCTAAGGAAAACATTTAAACCAAAATGACGGCACGGGATTGTAACCCATACACTCGTGGTCAACCATTTCAGTTTTCACGATAAAATCTTGTTCAGGGAAAGCCCCATAGCGATTGCTATCTCACCTCAAAAGAGAAAGGTGTTAAATTGACGATTACTACAGCATTGAGTTGCCTACGCTTGGGAGTACAATGTAACGAGAAATATAAACGTCGATGTTTTATATTTTCGAGGGGATTTTTATTGTTTAAAATCAGCACAAAGATTGATGCGTTATTGAATAATAAGACGCAGGGAAACCCTCATTTCGGTATCTGGATGACATTAAAGGCTTAATGAGGGGCCGAAGGGCTATTCAGGTCAAGGTCACCACAGCAAGGTCAAGATGGACACCTCTACTGAGGAAGGTATTTATCGGGATAATTGTCCGTTTTCTTTGCGATGTACAAGCTATACACACTCAATCTTTTTGCAGTCTATGAACGAGCAACATTTGCTTAATGCAGGCGTAGCGTGACTGCTGATGATGGGGTAGTTGAATAAACTGAAAGTGTTGACTAAAAATGTTATGTCATGGTTCATCAATGTAGTACAATGTACCAGTATGTAAACGGTGTTGTACGTCTTGGTTGTAGTACTTCCTGCACGTGCCTAATGCTCCACGTACATTGTTAAGTTATTGATGATTATAGTTTTGTTATTGTGTCTGTCTAGATTGCAACCGCGGTGAATTTTTTCTTGTTAAAATGCACACAAAATTCACGTAATCGCTTCAACCACTCAGTCGTGTTGATCGTAGGCACAAGTACATGTACTAGTAGGTGCTTGACGTCACTCGCAATAGACTCACATGTATTAAGAAATGTCATGTATGAAATTTATCACAAAGGCGCTTCCAATCTTTCTTTAGATTTTTTTTTTTTTATTGCTGCTGTGTGTGTTGTTATGTATGTAACACTACAAGTACAGTAGTTAAACACACTATTACTTTGAAGGCAAAGTGTGCCTTCAGTCTTCTGGATAATATATAATATATATATCCTTTACTAGTATTGTATCAGTAATGCCTTTGCAGAGCATTGTGTTTTGTAGAGTTTATTTACTGTTAATTCTTGAAACCTCAGGATGGAGATATGAGGCCATGCTCCATTTTGTACCAGGTATACTGAGCATGACATTGCAAGGGGGAAAGTACCAGTAGGGGGTGAATTTGAAACCTTTTGCTGATGTTAATTCAGTCTTTGGGCTTGATTCATTTTCCAAATGAGTGGTTTTAACAAAGATAACATACTAGTATTATCGTGGTAGGAATTCAACGACATGCTTTTAGTAAAAGATGGGTGTCTGCTAAAATACTGGTATGCTGGCTTGTTAAAGCTAATTGATATATTGTCAGTTGACATGATGATTGATGATGTTACATGATTTGTTTCATAGTACTGAGTTGCTGTTGGGAGGTAACCTGTATGTTCTAATTTTCATAGGATAATAATGGCAGCATTTTTTAGTTGTAGGAATCCCTGATGCTAATATCCAGAAATATAGAGAGAAATTTGAGTCAGATCC